TTATTTCCTTTTCAAATAGAAGTGCGACAATTTGTCAGGCAAATCGGGAGAACCATTAGCACATATATTTTTTTTGTAAGCACTCCGCAGCCATAAATTAACGTGTGTTTGTCGAGCGGACATATATTTTTTTTAACTGCAGAAAGCTGAGGGTGGATTTTGCCAGCGAACGTGTTTATTAATGATGCGATGCCATATGGAGCTGGGCCGATTTGAACGTTAGCCAAGAGTAAATGAAAGCGGCGCAGGCCTTTTTCTATCTCTCCAGCAGCAGCTTCTTCGCCAAACGACGAGCGCAGGATAATTGCAAAATAAGCTCTCGGTGCTCGCACGCCCGAATTATTATTCCCGGCGAGTTTCCACCGCTAAAGAGTCTAAAGAGCCGCCGCCGCCGCTCTTTTATAATTCATGAGCCGGCAATTGATTCAGCCTGGCGGCAACGTGCGTTGTTTGCCACTTTGGTGTCTCGTCGTGCCTCGGGCTTTTTTCTCACTCTGTACTTACAATTAGTTAGTGTGTGTACATGGCTGCTCTATTACCCGCCACTGTTCATAATTCCCGCAGTGTTTTGCAATTACGTGCACCACCATGTCTGAACTTTTTTGCAAAGACATTTTGTTCACGTTTAACTTTTTCCACTTTCCCGCAACACCAGGTTTACGTTATTTCTGCATTTATTCAAAAGAAAAAGTCCATAGTGAAACAACAAGGGAATCTTTGTGGAAATCTAAATTTAAAAATATTTTAAAAGATAAAAATGTGAAAGAGAAACGCATTATTTTATTTCTGAAAAGAGTTTTAGAAAAAAGTCAAAAAACTTGAGTTAACACTGGTACTCTAAAAATCTTTAATTAGAAATTAATTAATTTGGATTTTTTTTTCAAACAATGAAAGAGCATTCGATAATCAATACCTCTTGTTGACAATCTTTCTTACTACAGTGTAGCAATAAATGGAGAAGTATAAATAAATTAATGCCTGGGACTTATGAAGCTACTGACAATGAATTGTAGTTCCTGTTTTACCAATAATAATTGCGCCGGTATTCTTTTAAGAAATTTATTCAGCAGCGCCTAATTTTAGTTTACTTTTTTTGACGAATTAATTTTTTTCATAGTTTGATTTTATATTCAAAGACAAATAATAACGTTCGAATAATGACTTTATTGACGTCATTAACGTTCGCAAAGAGTAGGAATTGTTTCAAATCATTACATTCATTTAATTAAAATCAAACGAAAGTAAAATAAACACGAGATTATTTAACATTTTGCTTTATCACTAATGGATAGTTAGTGGCATTGCTAGTTACATACTTTTTTTATTGTCTATTCCTCTTGGGAATGACACCAGCGGTAGCAGTCAAGCTTGCTAAATCCAAGGGCCGATCTGATAATCGATAACCAAGAATTCCCTTTCAGGCTGATAAAACAGTGACTTTGTACATATTAGTGTAAAATGTGTTGTTCGGAACAGTTCAAAACAAAAAATATTTACAAAAACCTAAATTTTTAATGAATACTCGCACATGCCTGATTGGAGCTTGACTTCCGCAAATATTTGCGCGATTGAACATTTTAACAAAAAAGGGGGCTGCAGTTTTTGCACCCTCGGGCGTCGGCGCTTCCGACTGACGGATATTTACCCTGTTTAGAATACACGAGCGTGTCTCGTCCGCTGCAAACAAAACGTTGGCGGCGTTCATTCATTCGTCTGCGCCTTGCTGTCTGTTTACCGCCGTGTATACTCGCGAAAGATAAATTGACGAAGGCTCTGATATTGCCAAAAAATCTTAACCAAGCAGTGAAAGGACACGTTGCCGGAAATTTATCGTGGAGTGTGCAGAAGGGGATTTGGAAGGATTTCAAGAGTGGTGGCGCCGCAAAGAGAAGATGGATGTGCCTTGTGAAATCGCTCACGATGCATAATTTAACTTGTTGACTTGTTTGCGTGCAAGAAAATGTGTAACGAAGAGGTCTTTCTTGCTTGTTGCGGAAAAATTGAATAGTCACTTTTAAAGCTAATAGTATTTGAATTTGATCAAAAAAATTAATTAATTTGAGGTTTACTACTGTAGGGTGGTATAGGGAAATGTCTTGGTAGGAATTACTATAATTGTAAGAGTGATCATTCATGAGTATAGAACCTTAATATGCTTATAAACGAATAACGGATTATTAATTTAGTGAAAATTGTGACTTTGCCAGTGAATAAATTATCCATGGAAGTTGCTATAAATTGTACATTAATTAAAATTTAAAATTAGTATTCAATGGTCTCGTGTGAAGCAATAATTTTAAACTGAAAAAAATGCAAATCTCATTTAATTTAAGCTGCTTGGAAATTGGAAATCATGGTAATTGAATAATGAGAAGAGGTTGACATATCATTAGAGAAATACAGCAGGCGTAGAAACATATTTTAGAGATAAATGTCTCATATTTCTAGTATTTCAAGGATTTTCTACACATTTGTTGCCTAATTTAAGAAAATAGCATATTTGAATATAAATAAATTTTATTTCTATGTAATTGAAGAATGTTTGCTGAACAAAGAAAAAATTGAAACAAAATTAGAAATATTAAGGATCACAAAGACTCCCAGCAGAGTAGAAAAAAGAGGAATTTAATACAACTTTCACTTGGTGGCTTCGGTGGCTTCCCATTATCATTTTCCGCTTGTCAATGTATGACGTGTCATCAATAATCCATTTCGTGGAAATTCAATGCGTCGTCAGTGAACGCAGAGCGCAGTAATTGGGCTTGTAGTTTGCACTTCAGCTTTTTTTTTACCTCCTTAGCTGTCAATGATTTGGTGCGGCCCATGCGAACGACGCCTTGTAAAAAGAAAAACCTTCCATCATTTTCAATCACAAATCCGCCACCACCGTCTCCATCGCACGAGCCGCGTCTGGTTCCAGTTTGACGACTTCAAATACGTTCATTTGCAATTTTATCTGAAAACTGACGGTTGTTATTTTAAAGGAACCAACATTGGTTTTCTACGAGGAGCATTATAAGAATAAAAAATTAATCATACTGAAATTTTATAGTATAATGCTGAAAATTAAAAAAAAAGTTTTAAATACTGATGTCCTTCTTTCTTATAGTATGTACATAGTACATATGATATAGAGTGGATCAAAACATTAATTTGGAACGTGACGAGGAAAAAAATCATAATCTTCACAATTCTCAGCCGCAAGAGCGTGCAAGAAACATGAAAGTCATCTTAAGCCTGGCCGTGAACTTTTCCTGCCTTGCCATTGGGAGCGAGAAGCGAAATTTAATTAATTAGGTCCCCTTTCAGCTTGTGGCGCCTCGAAAGTCAGGGGTTCGCGCAGCGAAGGTCAGACTAGCTCAGCGTTTGCGATTATCTTTCTCTCTACGCCGGGCGAGCGCGAAATGAACTTGCTTCTTTTCAGAGATTGTGACTTTAATCCGCCGTGCTTGTTACAAACGAGATTTCATTCGGCCCGAGAGGGGGCCTTGCAAAAAAGAGAGATATTTCACCGAGCTTTCTTGTTGCAGGCAATATATTCCGCTAGTGGCGCAGCATCCGTCCGAGAGAGTATAATGTGTAAAATAGTGGTGTGTGGTGTGTCGGTCCACACTACCCTCTCTCTTTTATGTGCTGCAGATAGCCCTGCTATGCACACATACACACCACCCGCGCGCACATTAACCAAATAAGCTCCGGGAAATTATCGCCCCTCATATCTCCACACATTGTATAAATTTTTGCCCATCCAATGTCATAAATTAGACGGCGATTTCTTGCGCTCAAAAAATCACCGCTGCTGCTTTATGGTGTCCCAGAAGGGACTTGAATGAGGAGGAAAAGGTCAGCCAGATTAATCGCTGATCTGCTGGACCTTGGGGGGTAATCGAGTTTTTGTTCCCACTGGTTACAGTGGTTATGGTCTTGTGTGATGAACGAGAATCTGAAATGATATATCATGGAATGAAAAAAAAATCATTGAAGTTTTGCGTCACTTGTTAAATATTATTCCTTTTATGCAAAGCTCATCAATTCGTTACAAAACCCAAGCTTTGAAAGCGAAATTTGAATTGCAAATTAGACTAATTGTTAAAAAAAAGGTAGACCTTTCTTTCCAAATTGTGTGTAATTTATTCCTTTTTTTATATCAGGCTTCCTCGTATAAATCATAATTGCTTTTTTGCCTCAAGTTTAAATTAGAATGAATTGCAATAAGTATTCTCTTTTATTTTTATTCACATGTTAATCCTTGCCAGCAGGATGATTTTATTTAACTTTTCATGCATCACTAGTATGAAAGTTTTACAAAATGAAATAAAAAATATCAGCCCTTAGTAGAACTGGATTGAATTACGATATTTTTCATATAGAATGTAAAAATCGCTGAATTCAGGCAAATATTATTTAAAAGAACGAATATTTTCACGCACTCTTATCAAAAGTTTGTTACGTAAAACACTCACCCTTGTTTGGTTCAGAGAAATATTGGCAAAATAATTTCACCACGCGTTTCCTCCAGGAATGACTTTTATATAAAATAAGAACTAAATTGGATTCATCAGATAAAATCATATATTTTCTCTGTCGGTAGATATACAATTGAAGAAAATTGATAGCACCACAATCAGCCTACTCCAGCAATTTATTTGAAAGTCGATCAATTTATTTACACTTGACTAGTGACATACACAAAAGTAATATCTTCTGCGCACGTCTCACTCAGCCAGTGAAAAATGATATAAAAATTTCAAATGCACTCACTGAGATGGAATTGGCGCGCATCAATTTGATGTTTCACACACGTATAGTCTTAAAGATATTTTTTCCTATTCGTTACACACCTGCACATCTCATTCCTCCACATCTCGTTGGGATGGAAAAATTTTGCCCCGTCACGTCGCAGGAAGCGAGACTAGTTCTATTTACTTTTTGAAATGCAAAATGCAATTTACGTGGTTGAGGAGCACCGCACTGATGCGACGGCAATCTTGTGATTTCAGACGTGAACCAGAGCGGCACCATCGAGCGAAAGGACTTCGACCTCGCCATCGAGGTAAGAATTTCTATTTTTTTTTTTGTCTTGAAGCGAATTGCAAAAAGCGGTCGCACCTGATTGCAAATTGTCTGGGGTGCGATATGTGTGAAAAGTGCACACGGGACGAAATTGACGTGGCTCTGCTGTTTTTTATTTAACATCTCGAGACGGGAGAGGCCGTGTTGCACATAAAAAGCAGCGGAGAATGTCGCTTGTTTTATTTGCCGTCCGTCCGTACTTTTGACCCTCCTGCTTTTTTCTTTAAAGAGGATCGCACTGCAAATAAAGCAGCGAGCTTGAGGGCGGGCAAAAAGCGACGGCTTTGCGAAAAGGATGAGACGAAGGCGGGCTGGCGAACGGACCGAGCAAGCGAGGAAAAACACAATTTGCCTGCCTGTGTGAAATGGCCTGAACTATGTTGTCAGTGGCAAAACCCGAATACAGGAATGCGACAACCAATGACCAATTGCATTTTTTTTTAATCTTTTCATTGCTACTTTTCGAATGTATTCCTCAAATTTATGGATTTTAAAATAATGAAATTTACAGGATTGGAGCTCCTGTCCTGCAATTATTGCGCATAAAAGAGTTTTTGGTTGAAATTGGTGGCATATTTTGCAAATATGATAACCTATACATATGTAAGGACATTAGCAAAAAAAATTCTGAAAATTGTACACAATTATGCATAGATTAAAAAAAAATTGTACAAACGCGATTTAACATATTTTGTTACCATTTTCATCCAAATGTAATTCTTGATTTTTTTTTAATGGGGTTTTCAATTATTTTAAATTATAGAACAAGAAATCTTTTTCTTTCAAAATTTTGGGGATCTTTTCTGATCAAATTCTAAGTTGCTTTAAACAAAATTTACATCGATCCACCATTAACAATTTTTGCTATACATCACATTATAACAAAACGTACTAATTCTTTTTAGAAGTTTATCTATTAAAGAATTGATTCGTTATGAATTGAATAAAATTCAGTTTTCCTTGATAAGTTTTTTTTTTAATATTCCATCAAAAATGAAATTGAGCATGAAATTATTTTTTTTTTATGAAGCAATAAACGGGCAAAACAACCATTTGTAATAAAACCAACTTAAAATATTCAGCAGCACAAAGAAACAATATTCATTACCACCTTGTCTGACGTCACTTTTTGCTGAAGGAAAACGGAAAACTATCGATATAAATTTCAAAATGGTTTCAAATTTGTCAATTTCATAAACATTGTTTCCTACTTTTCGATTTCCGTTTTTTTGTGAAGACCTTTTTCTTATTAATTTGCCCCTAGAGAATTGCCATAAATTGTGTTCGCAAAACTTTTCGCGTGTCCTCTGCTGCCGATATGTATGTTACCAACTGGGCCATGTTCTGCAGGCCGTGTATGGAGAAGTATAATATTATGAAAGTTTGATGTGCTCTGTTGAGGGTCAAGAGCGCCCCTGGCCGGTCAGGTGAACGCTCGGCGGCCTCTTTTTACACCGCCGCTTTTAAGCGGAGCCTTGCAGTATGTATGCCACCCGCACAGCCGCTCTCTCACTCTTCTCTCTCGTGATTGTCAAGTGAGAAAGGCTGAAATTCAATTAAGCCAGGTGCTGCTGCTGGAATTTCTCATGATCATCAACCGTCGCCGCCACGAGACTGCCTTTTCAAAGCTTCAACGCTTGCAGAGTGTGTTTTTTCACTATTTCTTTTGCAACAGAAATGAGCCGGAAAATCAAACTTGAATACGGCGGGAGAGAGAATGGAGAAAGAGGGTTGATTTGCATGGTTAGGATGGAAGATACGCGATGAATGTATTTATTACATTTTTTTGAGACACGCCACAGACAAAGTCAAAAGTTTAATATTGTTGTGATTAATACTTTTTTTTTAGAATTTATATTTATTCAACCAAACTTTAGAAAAATATATATAAATATTTTAATAATTATTTAAATATTATAATTGGATTCTGCATTCTCTGGAAGTTCTAACTATTGCATTTTATTCCTAAGTGAATTAATTTGTGACAAAGATTTAAAACGTTGGTAAGAATAATTATTGTATTAATGATTCAAACTCGGACATTGAAAATTTTAAAATTGATAGCGGTTTTTTTCTATTTTTATTCTAACAGTCCATCCATCAATAGCTCAGGCAAATCAATCAATATGATGACCCTCAAATTATTATTATTTCAAATCAAAGGTATTTTCTTATTATTAATGGTCGTAGCTATTTAAACTATTAAAAAGTAAAATAAAACTTGAAGAAAAATAAGAATTCATTGGTTAAACTAGAATCCAAATTAAATGAGTCGGACCGTATTTAGCGGGGTTAGTTCTATGGGCCATGTTACGACATTATTAGGTTGCGGGACGCGTATATGCGGAGTGCGGAGCTATTTCTTTCTCAACTGCTCGCCCTCTTGGGCCTCCCATAATTAAATTCAAATTAAGTACCCACGCGTCGAATGGGGGGCCACATTCGAGAGTGGAGAACCCCCATGTATTTTCACACGGGAACTTGAACGGTCCCCTGCGCCAAATCTCGCAGTGGAAAAAGCAAAAAACGCCGCCGCTCTTTTGCATTAGTGTAATGCGGGTTTGCGGAGAGAGAAGGGCAGCGAGAATTCCGAGGCGCTCTCTCGCAATGCGGCACAAACACACGCCCGTCGTCGCCCGTCGCCTCTGCCCACCCCGAGCCAGCCGAGAAAGTTCATTTCCTTGCCCTGCTCCTTCTTTCACTCGAAGTCTTCTTTGTTTTATCAACACGGGCCACGCTGCCATTTGCTCAGCACTTTGCGCCGTGTGCGAGTGTGGATTCAAGTGTGCAGCAGACACACGGTATGCAATTAATAAGAGGAAAAGTGCACAGCATGCAAATCTCGTGTCCTACAATAATTACGTGCGGATTTAAAGAAAGTTGGTATTTCTTTTATAACCATTTTTTGTGCAGATATTTTCCAAAAATTTCACAAACTTAGCTTAATAAGTTGAATCATCTTTCTAGTATATAATTAATGAAAAGTAAATAATTTATATTCTAAATATAAAAGCGCTATTTAATTCCTGTATTTAGAGAAGCTAACTTATCCTTTTAACCCTATCTTCTCCAACTCCACGTTATTTACATAATTAAAATAATAAATATCTAATTTTAGCTCAATACGGAATATAAGGTGAACTTTTCACCCTGGTTAATTGACCAATTAATTCATTCTGTTGATTGATAAATTTTTGCGTCAAAAAGGGACATCGTTCAACTTGACCTCAGAAGCAACTTTCCGCTTTAAAGGAACCCTAAACCCAAAATACCCAAAAACATTAGGGCCACTCCTCAGGGATTTAAGCGAGGAGCCGGTCGAGAGAGGGCATAAAACGGACATGCCATCAAACAAAATAGGCCGGGTCTCGGCATGAATTTTGCAAGGGAGGCACAAATTTAGCATCGCGTCCGTAACAGCTCTCTGATGGTGTGCCTTTTTGGATTTGGGAATCCGGTTTTCTGCCTGCAGGCTTAGCCAAACAGATTTCTGGGGATGAATTATTTAATGGAGCCTCAGGACGCCGAACCATGAATTCAAGAAATTTGCATCTCTATAGGAGGCAAATATCCTATATGTTTGGTAATAAATAACTGAGGAAGTAAAAAAGGGAATTCTAAAAGATAAGAAAAAAAAGTATTTATACAAAGTTACAAAAATAAAATACATCAATATGTTTAAAAATGGAAGTTCAACGATGTGTTCGAATTGTTGAGAAGGGTATTTGCATTGCACCCCAGTCCCCAGTTGTACGCAAAAGCGTTTAATACAAAATACTTTTTTTCAAATTCAAATAATTCTGCTAGATTAAAAAGTATAAAAATTTAAACGACCTTGATGTAAATATGGCTAAAAAATTTAAGAAATGTGAATGGTAATATAGATTTCACTTTTTAGTAACTCATACATTTTTTTACATTAATTAATTTTTTTCACTTCTTTAGTCTGTATGAGCGCACCATTGATGAAAAAGTTGAGGAAGAAATCGAGCGGCTTCAACAACGCCAGGAAACTTTTCCTTTCAACAGCTCAATTCTTTCATTTCTACGACTGAAGAGCATTATTGAACGAAAACCGCTCATTCAATGGGAGATCAAAGTGATTGGCTTTCCATAGCATGTATGACAACAATAAAAAGTTTTTCCACAAAGTCGACGAGAAGCTCCCTCGGCTCTATAAGAACATGATCGCAAAAACCGAGTGTGCCGTGATTGATTAGACGGTCTCGTCGCGCGCACGTGTGTCAAAGCCGTCGACGCGCGTTATTGAAAATATTTTGCACCGCAACCGCGCGCGACACTCGAGACTGGAAAGCGCAAATTTAATTAAAAAGCACCGAACAAAGTGTGCAACAAGCGCGCCGCGCAATCTATCAAATCGAGAGCAGTTTCCGCGTCACTTTCGCAGCCCTTCACCCCTTTGCAACAAAACACAGGGCCTTACTTAAAACGATGAAATTTTAATTAGATTAACGATTTTCCCGGTCTGTTGTCTCGGTTGGAGTGGCACACGCACACAACCACCAAACCAAATCCCTCTCGCGTAGTGGTGGGAAATGAACAATTTTGCAGGGAGAGATTTTTGCGGATATTGTTTTTGAAAGAGATTGTTTCAACGTAGCGCTTTTGAAATTACAAAAATATTGAAAAAGGGATTGATTGACAGAAATAACTTTTTATACAATACGGGAAGTGGGAACATAATACTTGTGATTGATTGCACTTAACTTTGATCTCTGCAAAATTGTTGATGACACATATGAGGTGATAAATTTTGTTTTAAGTTTCGTTTTTGCAAATAACTATTATTAGTAATCTGCAATGCTGATGCTGACATTCGTTGGAAGATGAAAAAATTTTACAACTTTTTTTGATGTTCTTGAAAAAGATTATAATTCAAAATAGAAATATGTTTTTAGTAACTTTAAAACATAAATTAATTGTCAATTTCAGTCAAATGCTCCATATTTGCTATAACATGGTATTTTTAAAGTTTACCTCTGAGATTGACTTTGATTAAAGACATTTTCTTTAAAAAAAAAAAAAATTAAATATAAATAAAGTGTGTGTTTTGTACAATTAGTTCTAAAATTTCAAAATCAAAGCAGCAATAATTCAGAGATTATTAGTATTTTATTGGGCATATATGTGGGTTTTTTGCCCATCAAATTATTTTCTGTGCCGTCGAATTTGAGCCGTAAAAAACTGCAGTGAAGAATTAAAATTAATCATCTTTTAAGCTTGTGTTTTTTAATGCTTGTAAGCACGGATTTAATATAAAAAACATCAGCACAAATTTTGTTTTCAAAAGCGGCCTTTTCGTTCACATAAAAACAGGAACTCCGTAGAGTTCTTCACAAATTAATGCTCTTTGTTTTTATCAGTTCCGAGGCATATTTTTCACTGGAGCGCGCTGCTAAAATCGCGTTTTCGCCAACAGATTATAAATAATGGCCGCGCGTGGAAAAGCATTCTGGCGGGCGCGGCTGATTATATTTTTTCCTAGTCGCGCTCCACTAATTCCGCTAATCGCCGACCGGGTCTTTTGGCTGCCGCTCCAGCTAATTTTTCATCCAATTTATTGGTGTCCGCTCAACGTGCCGGCCGATAACGTCGATTTGTCACAAAAGCAGGACCGCCGCAGCTCATTCAGCTTTTCCGCAATCTGTGCGTCCGAGTATAATAAAATCACATTTGCTGATAGATATCGAGGCTAATCGGCCGGAACAGGCTGCGACCAAATAAGGAAGATAAATTCATGGGTAAAAAAATTCTGTCAGTATTCCTGTCGAGACCGAACAATAAAAATCCCTTATTTTCACAAACAAAAAAATGAATCCTACAATTAAAATCCATATATGTATGCAAATTGAAGTTAAAATAATTAGAGTTTTGTTTGTTATTAAAGCAAAAATTTTCAGCTTGTCCATTTCTGTCAATAATTAATCCTAATCACTAAAAATAGATTTTCTCCGTTCCATATAAATCACCTGTAGGGCAATTTTACTAATATTTTGTATGACAAAAAAGAGAACATTAGCACCAAAAATTCCACAAGTATTCAAAAATAGAATAAATATCTATTCAAAATATTTAATATTTGACACCAGAATTGCAAAAAAAAGTGATCAAAATAAATATTTTTGTGAATTCAAATCGTCACTTCATTTTTTTCCCACTAGCTTGATTCTTGTTACCATCCCCATTAACTTAATCTACTAATTTTTCCGCCTGTCAAAATTAACCACGCTCATTGATTTGTAATTACCGCACATCTTCGCGTTGATTATCTTTGGTGAAAATGCAAAGTTGTTGGTGGCCCCGGTCGGCAGCGTCTTGAAGGGAAATTATTAATTGTGCTCAGAACGCAGGTGATTAATCACGCCCTTAAACGTCGAGAAATTAATCAATGCGCGCGTGCTTCTGGGCGGCGTGTATGTTAAGAAAATTGCCAGCGCTCCTTTCCTTTTCCCGCAACAGCCAATCTCCTGTTCTGCACATTAGTTTTATTGATTTTTATTACACGCGGCGGTCGCCCTAACGGTTATATCCCTATGTAAATAATAATTGGCGAGCTTTTATTCCATAAATGTGCTTGAGGGGGAGGTTTCAAAAATTTACATAATAGCTCTTTGAATTGCAAAATTCCGGTAAACATCAGGAAAAAAAAAACGTTTTTATCTTTTCCAAAAGAAAATATTTCAAAAAGTACTACATGCATTGTAATCAGTATCCCCTGAGGCTTTCTGATGATTGATTTTCGATAAATTTTTGTAAAAAAACCTGGATCTTTCATTTTATTTGTTTTGAAACTAACGTCCGAGGTTTATTGGAATATTCCACTCCCAATAAATATTCGTGGCCAACCCGCATAAAAATGTTGCACAAAGGACCATAGGTAATTAGATATTGACTAATCCCGCATGAAAACCTTTTATCAACGCGAAAAGCTTTCTGCTTTTTTGTGTGTGAAAAAAACTGCAACAAATTCCTTTTTAGTGGCGCACATACATTCAATCTCTATATTACTGGTGAAAAACGATTCCGACTAACGAGGCAGGTGCAGTACTTTGAGTGCATGAACGTCCGTTTCACTCCGACCTGCACTTTACTTACTTGGCTTTGTAGCAAAAAGTAGCAGAAAACCGGCAGCGAAATCAACAACAACTTTGCGAGCAGGTAGAAAACATCAGGGAGATTCTAAATAATTCATGTGGTGAAAGGGTGGGATCCCGTCATTGCTGCCTCTCAGCAGACATTGCACCACGAGATGTGCGCCTCGTTAAATTTGGCACGAAAAAAATTACGAGCGGAGGAAACTCGGCGCAAAATAAGGGCTCGTCGTAAAAGAGAGAGGTGGCTCACCAAGGGTTTGCACCAACCACTTTGTTCCCCTTTTGGCGGGATTAAAATGATGGTGATACCGCCCGCTGAATTTAATTTCAAATGGCAATGTGTATTCAAAGGCCGGCTTCCCTCTGGCCCCTCTCGCAATCTGTTTATATTATCATTTCCTCTGACCCAGATGATACTCTCAGCTGCAATTTTCAATTTCGATTCGAAACAGGAAAGGACTTAGAAAAGGGGTCAATTGTCATTATATTTTTTCATTTTAAAAAATCTCCAAGCAAATGCACTGCTTAGAGATAGTTCTTTAAACCAAAATAAATTTTTTTTAACTTAAGGACTACAGACTAAGAGCCAAAAGCTAAAAATGAACTAAGAAATATAATTAATAATAATATCAAAAAAAAATATATATTTCAGTTTGACAAGTTTGTTGTTTAAATTTCAAATTAAATTTTTAATTGCGCTTTTATAGTTCAAAACTTATTGATTAAACCGATTAAACATTGTATTAAATTGATAATAGGTGATTTTGTGGATAAAATATTTAAACCTTTCTGGACCGATAAGGTAAATTACAACAAACAAAAATATTATAATCAACAATATGAATTTCAGGAATTTATTTTGTATGTTCTGTCTTTGTATTTTTTGATGTAATTTCTCTCTCTTGTAATCAATGTAATTTATAATATTGAATGTATGGATGATGTATTTGGGCAGAGAATGCCCGGTGATACATTAATAAACATGATTTTTGAAACTAAATTATTATTCACCATTTCAGTGACTTGTATAAAAAAATTGGGGGAGATTCAATAGACTTAGCTCTCCGGGGATAAAAGATATCCGCGATAAATCCAAAGGGATAAAATCAAATCAGCTGGTTATTTAAAGATCCTCAACATGCTCAACATGCCGGCAATACCAGCAGTGCCGGCAATTAGTGAACATGAAAAAGTAAAAAAAAAGTATAGCTTTTCTTTCATCTGAAGTGTTGCCCAAATATTTAAAGACCTTGTCATTAAAGTGAAATTGGTCAAATAAATCTTTTTCTTATGGCTATTAAATCAATTATTGAACCAGTGGCTGGTTACTGGCTGCCGGCTGTCAAAAATGCAATGACACTCGGCATATGTCAAGAAAATTTTTGACTCCATTTTATTATTATTTTTTTTTTTACCATCGGCTGACCTTTTTGTTTAAAATTGACAGCAAGTTCAACTGGCTCAGCAGTCGAAATAGTTGATGGCTGGTTGACGGAATGCAACTCTTCAATGCAACTGTTGGATCCAACTCTTTGGTCGGTGCCAAACTGTTGGATCCAATTGGATTCAACTCTTTGGTCGGTGCAGAACTGTTGGATCTGTTGAATACTTGATTTGATAGCCATAAGAAAAAGATTTATTTGACCAATTTCACTTTGAAATATTTAAGCAACACTTCAGATGAAAGAAAATCATAAACTTTTTTTACTTTTTCATGTTCACTAACTTTTTCCATTATTGTTATTTGTAAAGTGCAATTAAAATATTTAGCGAATATAATTTCTCTACAAATGAGACAATAAATTTGAAAATTTTAATTTTTGGAGTTGCGAACTGTAACTTTACATGCATAAAATTTTTACAAAAGAAAAAAAAATTCTTGCATAATTTCGCTTTGATGAAGAGATCTTTAAATGTTTCTGAGCAAAAAAAAAAATTAAATAAATAAGCAATTTCAAATTATGTTGTATACAGATTTTTGTGTTAGCTTTAGATTTCAATTTTGCCCTCACTTCCATGATCCTCACAAAATTCCGATTTGAAAAAGTTTTTTTTTCGTTGCAATTGGCCAAAATTAAAAAGTTCGCGAGCATGTTGAGGATCTTTTAATAACCAGCTGATTTGATTTTAGCGCGGGTCAAATGTTTGTCCCGTTTAGGGGGGTAAGAAAAGTTATCCCCATTGATTTGGGGGACAAACAATTGAAGGCGGGCTAAAAAATATTTAACCCGGGACAGTGGTTTAAATTTTATCCCTTTGGATTTATCCCGGGAGAGCTAAGTATTGAATCTCCCCCATTATTTCTGGCATTTTTTTTTATCATGCAAAGGATCACAAAGGATAAACTTTATATCAATATAATTAGCTCAATCATAGTGAATCATAGTAATGATTCAGAAATATTTAGCTTACTAATTTTAAAACCAAAAATTTAAATCAGGTATTCCGACCAGCTAAAATTCCATCCAATTAATTTTGCGAGATGAAAATGACAAGTTCATTTATCGCTTCAGAACAGAGTGCGGCTTTAATGATGAGCCGGTTGGGCAAACAACGGTTTCACTTACCCTTCTTGCTCGGTCGCTGCGAAAACCTACTGCTCTCATTCTGCGGCAGTTCGCCCTCTTCCGACGCAAGGAAAGTTTCCCTCTTCGCTTTATTTCTTCTTCTTGCAATGTAACTTGGCCGGCCTCCGTCGCTGAATCTATTTATTCACACATAGCCCAAGTTTCAATTCGCTCAATCTCTCTTTATCTTTGTGTCCGTAGCGAATTTGCCGCATGCGAGGTTTCCACCCTGGAGACCCCAAGTTCCAGCAGACCCAGGACATCTTGATCAACGTGTGGGATGGCCTCCGAGCTCGCGCCGACTCCAACAAGGACGGTCAGGTAAGATAGAAAAAAAAATGCCAAAATAAATGTCTGATCTTTTTTTCCATCATTTAAAGGTTTAAAGTGCACCATTTACGTACTAGTTTGCAAGTTATCCACTTACTTTCGCCTTTTTTTTAAGTCAGAACCCTTTTTATACAATTATTTCTATTTGCTATTACATGTTCTGTTTATTCCAAAAAACGCCACAGGCTTGCATGTGTCACGGCCCAGAAATAATACAATTATGAACACATGTAATGTTTGGCTTTCCCAAAATGAAATAAATTATGTAACTTTACAGTAATATTGTTTTATCAAATTGTTATATTTAATTTATGGCTTTATCTATGATAAATTTTAATTTTCAAGTTCGTTGGTGAACCAAAAGGTCCACCTATAAAGAAAAATAAAAAAAATTAGCAAACCTGAAAAGAGGAAAAAAATCATTTTAAATGGAAAAGCTTTATGAGAAGCTAAAAAAAATGAAATAATAGTAATAAGAACCTTTAAATTGATACTAATTTATTTATCATATTATTTTAAATTATTTTAATGATATTTTCAACACAAACAACAAATTTAAAGAATCGGGAATATTTTTTTGTTTGATGTTTGGAAAAATTATTTGTTGGAAACGCAACATGCGAAAAAACAAGACATGTGCGACTTAAAAGTCAGGAATTTTCCAACTGTTTAATATTTAGGAAATTCTTCCGGCAATGCAAATTAGGTCTCTTGGCAGCTCTTTAGCGCTCTAGATTTCAAAAAGCTGGAAAGGCAAGCAAGCACCACTCGACGTCTGTCTCGAGAAAAAAGGCCTCTTTCTCTGCATACGTCGTCTCTTTTCACCACATGTTTAGCAAAGAGAGATCGGGCGCGGTAGTCATGTACAGTGTTGCGAAATACACAACAGAGCTAGAGGCCTGCAGGTCCTCTTTGTTACTCTGGTCCGCTTTTCCTCTAGAGGATCCAAAGTAGCAGCGCGCACCTCTAAAAAAAGCGCCACGTGTGTACATATCTTTCTGGAAAGGAGGAAAAGGCCATGTACAAAAGCAGTTGCCTTCGCCACGGCTGCAACAAATTTATTCATATACGTGCGGAGAGCAGAAGGAACTTGCATGCCCGGCGTCCCTCTTTCTTCCTTTTTTTTTTTGCCTAATCGCCTCCAAGGAAGGGAAAAAATATCCAGAGTCGACAGAATCGAGCCGGAGATAAAATGTTTTGCCCTTCGGACCGAATTGTTAACGAAGAGAGGATAAATTTTAAACGAGAGAGAGCAAGAAGGAGTGCTGTTTTTTATCGCATTCCGCCCTCTGCATATTTATTCGCCCCAGTTTTCCGCTTTTCCAATTTATGCAAGTCGGCCTGCAGCATGAGCTATTCAGAAAATAAGCCTTCGTTATTATTATTATGTCAACCCTTGCATTTTTGTATGCAAATTTCACACTTAAAAATTTCTTCCCCTGCCGAAAAAGAGATGATGTTGAAATTGCCGCTGCCCTTTATTGGTTTTGTGGGGAGAAAACTTTTGCATCGATTATCAATTGTTGACGAAAGTTGGCAGGAAAAAATGCCCGAGCGGAAGAAAATCACTGACAAGGGAACGCCCGCCAATCTTCATAAAAAGTTTTTGTAAAATTTAATAGATGTGACCCAAATGAGATGAAATGACGTTTTGTTTTCAAAATTCCAATCCTTGATTTAGTGTGTTTTGAAAATTATGCTTGAAAGTATGGTGAAAAAGAGGGTGTATTTTAAAATCTAAAATCTTATTATTGAGCTAAAATAAAATTTGGATGAGGAACGGTAAAAATCTGTGGCATGCAGGTTTTATTTTCTTTGATAAATTTCAATTAATAAAGATTTCACCTCTTTTTACTTATTTGGAGAAAAATAAATAAATTTATTATTTCTCGCAAAAACGTTAGAAATTTAAAAATAGTTATTGAATACCAATTAAGTATTTAGCTGGTTTCAAGTGACATATAATAATTTATATGTCTCAGAATAATTAAACTTTAATCAATTACTGAATTGGGGAGATTGGCGGTGTTCCCTTGCAAGAGAGCTCTTTGAAAAAAAAATAATAATAAAAAGATCAGCCTTTGGTGCCGTCAGAGATTGCAGGATCAAACCCTTTCATCAGACGTCTTTTCGGCTGAAATTTTCACCTCCTTCGCGTGAGAGCTGGGCTCGCTAATTAAGGGCCTTTGTTTCATTTGTGTGTGTGTTTTTGTAGACGTGGAGCCCCGTAATGGATGGGATGTTGATGGATGTGCTTCTGCTTGCAGGTGAGCCACGAGGAGTGGTGCATGATGTGGGACGAGTACGCCCGCAACTCGGGACCGGCCCTTGAATGGCAGCAGCGCTACATGAACTTCATGTTTGATCTCGAGGACACTTCTGGTGAGTACCTGAAATTCCCATTTTGCCATTTTTTGAGACGTTACGAGTGTAATCATAATTTAACTGGAGAACGCGTTTCAAATGCAATTTAATCGATTGGAAAACCACTCTACGTGGAAAACTACACAAATTAATACAAAACATGTTAATAAATAATCTTTAATATGTTTTATTTCAAGTTTTCATTAAAAATCTTTCTTGCCATCAGTTTTGATATATCTTGCTTCATTTTGAAAAGCATTTTGTGAGGAAAAGCAATTAAGAAATTCAATGTAGCCTCGCAAGCTATCGGAGCGTAACGAGTTGATTTTCGTATGCAAATGAATCCATCCGTTGCTCTTGCACAAAGGCAAATAAAGGAAGTGTTAGACGAGCCTGCAATGCAGAGACTTTCCGGGCGCGCGATGGACGGACAGATTAACAGCACCCGCTGAGAACGAAATCACGCGTCTGGCTATACATCACGTTCCGGCGCCGCCGAGTATTAAGCTGTGCCGCTGCAGAAAGAGACGGGGCCGCTCTTTTGGCGTAATTAAAAAAATACTGCATTGATTTGCTCCTCGCGAATGGAAAAGAAAGAAAAGGAGAGATGCCAACAAGCGCATTTCCTCTGCAGCAGGTGCCGCCGGATTTATTAAATTTTCACTGGAGGAAAAGATTTTATACATAAAAAAGAGCGAGATGATTCTTCTTCTTTGTCTCTCCCCAAAAATAAAAGTGAGGTATGACACCATAGAACTCGGACGAAATTTTCTCGCACTCAAAGAAATCTCAAAATAATTCTGTTGAAAACTGTCAGATATAAATTCTGTTTATAAATTTATTTTTTAATTTTAAAATTAAGGTTACTTATTTTATAAAAAAAAAAATGCATTCCAAGGAAATTTTTCCCTTAAACCACTGTTAAATTACATTTTTATAATTAAAGTAACATTTTTTTTTCTTTTTGTCAAATAATTTAGACTTTTGGAGCAAATTTTTTTTTAGCGAGTTTCCCTTTATTTTTAAAATTACTGAATATTATTTTTAAAATTTCACATCTCTCACAAAATATATTATGCTTTCACAACATGTTGAAACAGAATACTTAATAATTCTCTCTTCCAATTGAACATTGATTTTATACAGTCTAAATTAATTCATAAATTTGCTGTACATTTAATAATTCTCAAATTTTGTAATTTTTCAAAATTTATGTTGTAATTGGAAAGATTTGACATTTTTCTCTCTTAATGTGAATAAAATACAATAAATTTCAATTTATGATCGATAAATTGATGCAAACTACATACATTTGAAATGATTGCTAAATCTGGGAATAGTTGCCCTCATTTGAACCCAATAAACAATTCTTGAAACTAAAGCAATGTTTAAAAAGTTGCGGCACTTAAAAAGAAACTTATAATGGGTGAAAAATCGCGTCCATCACAACTTGCTGTCGGAGCATCTCAGTTTGTCTCCCACAAAGTGGCTGGAATCAAGCAAGTAGGTCGCGGGCCGGACTTGAGATCCAAGGGTTTTTTAATATCTCTCTCGGTTGTGCTTGCGCAGGGGAGGTTAGTGATATTAATGACGTCGTTTTGACGAACTGCACCATTTTCATTTTTTTTTCCTGCAAAGTCCTTGGCATTTTTCATTAAATTAATGCAATGCAGAGAAACACAGGGGTGCTGCGGAGAGGAATATAATAACGTCCCGCGACAAGTCACATAAATGACGACACAGTGCAGAGAGACAAAGTTCAGGCATTTTATTAAAGCACGTGGAGAAAAACCAGACGACAGTAATGATTATTGTCCAGATTGTCGCCGGCCGAAGAAGTTAAATTTTTTTATTCGAGACTGCAGACTTGGAAGGAAGAAAAGAGTCACGCTCCTTGTTAGGGCGGCTCTATTAAATGCAGCCGTCAAGTGCAGTTCCTGGCCAAAGAGCATCAAGTGGTGCGAGAGAACAAAACACCGCTGATCAAAGACAACTCCTTTCCTTGTTCTGCGACGAGACTTATTTTCGCCTCTTGCAGGAAATGCTTCTGACAAAATGGGTCAGAGGAAATACATCATCTCATTAAAAAAAATATTTATAACTTGTTACAAGATCAGTTGGGGTTGATGGGGTTAAGGAAAATATATATCAATAGTAAAAAATTTCAGTTTCAAAAATCGACTAGAGATTGAAAGCTAATTTTGATGATATCGTTGATATTTGAAAGGATTTAACATAATAAAAGAGATTTACAGAACCCAGGGACTTTTCAGGTCTATAGGGATTAATTGTTATTTATAATTTTCCATCCATCAATGGCATCTTTCCAACAGATGCTGAACCTAGCAAAATATTTTATCGCAAAATTACTATACTGTTGAAAAATAGTGAATTTTATATTTTATAAGGTATATTTTTTATTCACCATCTGTCAATTGATTGTATTGACTTGTTTGGAGAAAAATAAATTGAAATTGAATTGAATTTGTTTTAAATGATGGCAAAATGCTTTTCAAAGGTTTCTGTATAACAGTACGTTCATTTTGCGTCTGCATTTTTATTTCTGTCTTTTATAAACTATATCAACCTCTATTTACATTTTACGGCCAATGCGTTTCTTTTCCTTAACTCAATAAAAAAAACCTTTCGACTTTCTCCAAATCTTATTTTTCCATTACGAATCGAGAAAATATTTACTTAGCCTTTTGTTCCAATTGTTTGGTTTCCATTACGAGGCCTTTTTTATTATTTATTTGCGATGACGTAAAAGAATCTCAAACTTTGGCTCTTTTGTTAAGCCCCGATTTAAAAAGGGGAAGCGGGCCTCTTATATTCCACTCGAAATCTCCGCACGTTCCTTTGAACGCGAAACGAATCACTGGAGCCAAAACAAACAGGCACTTTGAAGATGCTGTGTTTCGCGCATCAAATTTCATCATCGTACACCTCGGCAAACTGCCTAGCTTCGCTTCTGGCCGGCTTAAGGGAATTCCGCTGCGGAAAGGATTAGTTTCGCCGAGTTCAAAGAGCGCGGCCAGAAATAGGCCTGCTGTTCGGCGAATGTAGGCCTGCCTTGATTGTCGTAAAAGACGCGCTGCCGGCGTTGCAAAGGGCATTCCGGCCAAAAGTCAATAAATTTTGGCGTGTGGCAAAAAGAACGGAGCGAAAATGATAAAAAAAAAAAAAGAGAGTCGGGCTGACGTAGATAGTAGAGAATTGACGCCGGGACCAAATTAAATTTCAGCAGTCGCTTCAGTTAATGGTGATGATGATCAAGAGTCTTCCCTTTTTTCCATCTAATGACCGGAAAAGCTGCTGCTTTTTCAGCACTTACTCGATGCCAAATGGGAATGTGGTGGAGCGCGAACGATTTTTCAGTCTGTAACAATGTAACGACCGTTATGTACGACCCCATTTCCTTGTATAGCTGAACTTCATTATCTGTTTCAATTGAAAATTTGAACTATTCTGAGTGGTTATAGTTTTATGTCAAAATCTAAACTTAATCAAATAATCAGCTAAATACTTTTGTGTTTTTTTGTTATTTTTATTAAAAGATATCCTAATTTAAAAACAAGGTATCCAACATAGTTCAATTTAATGCTAAATATTCCATTTTTTATGCTTAAAAAAAGGGAAAATGTGCAAATATTTGAAAAATATATTGCTCACATTAGATATTATTAACAATTAATAAGTCATTGACTGACTTTTAGTCAATTTAAAAACTCATAAAAACTGATGTTAAGTAAAAATAAATGTATAAGTCTAATTGTAAGACTCGGCATAATAAAAATTTAGACGGGGCTGACTACAGATGTCCGAAACATTTTGAAAAATTTAAATAAATCCATTTTATTTTTTTTACAATCAAATTGTTCATAATTAAGTCAGGACAAGTATGGTTCAAAAATGGTTTTATTAATTAAATTCAAAATCAATGATCAAATTCAAATTCAATATTGGTATTTACAAATAAATTCTTTTAACAACAACACGGCAGCAGAACAAACTTATGTGAAGAAAACTCGGGAAACCTGGTTTTCTTTGTGTTGTTGGCCGCAGACTGGGCATTTGCACATCCTCGGGCCAAGCATGGGTCCATGACCCTGCAGCATTGCTTCGCGGCACTCACCACAAACCCCCAAATGGCCACAGGTCATGAAGCTGAATGTGGATGGACCATTCTTGCAAACCAGGCACTTCAGCCCCTCCACTGGCGGTGGATTCCTGTCTACGCCAGAGGACAAGAACTCGTGCAGGGCTCGCGCCAACCTGTCTCTGCCTGTTTCAAGGAGATTCAGTTAAAAATTAAGATTGGCTCAAAATCTAGCATTTCTCACCCCACTCGGTCTTTGCCTGCTGACCGTTGGCTCTCAATGAGCTCTGGAGTTCCATCTTTGGCAGAGTTTTAAGCTTATGGACCGTTGGAATGTTCTCAGATCTCAACATCCCAATAGTTGCTGGTAGAAGCTCATCACATCGCAAGCGCTGCAAATTGCAACCATGGCGAAAATCAACATCAAAATATGTACAATTTTAAAAATCTAGTTTTTGAAGAGAGAGAAACGCTTACGTTTCCCACCTGAGCAGGTTCCACGTCTGGCGGCTCGATCTCAGGGACAGGTTGTGGTTGCGGAGCCAAAGGGTTTTGCGGCCCCTGGGGCAGAGCTGGCGGCAGGACTTGAGACTGCGGCTGGGCTTGCGGCTGTGGCTGAGCTTGCGGCTGCGGCTGGCCTTGTGGCTGCGGCTGATTTTGCGGCTGCGGCTGAGCTTGCGGTTGGTTGACATTCCCCATCTTGTCCAAGAATTTTGCAGGAGACTTAAAATGGAGTTCAACAATAAGCAAGTGAAGCGAATTATTTCAAAAATCCAACACTTCATTTTTAAGTTCTATTGTTGCATTTTCAATATTTGTTTGTTTTTTACTGATAAACTCGCCTCTTAAAATAAATAATATGAATTATGGAATGAATTAAACTTTGTCGAGTTGCACTAAATTTCCTACTTATTGAGTTGAAAATTGATTTTATTTCGGCGGCTGTTAAGATGAATAAAAAAAATCACGTAAGAGAACACAGAAAAAATGCAACGTAGCATTTTCATGATCGCATTTACCACAAAACACATTAAAATTAATTCAAAATGCATGATCTTTCTACTGCCCTCTCTCGAAATTTAACCTTTTCATTCCTCCATATATTATAGCAAAAACAAAAGCTTTTTATTGTATACCATAAATTTTTTAGTTTCCGCTTCCTATGGAGATATTTTGTTTTCCAGAGCGACGAAAACGAACAAAAAAACAAAACCTGACTTAATTTGAAACAAAATAAACTTTTCTGAGAAAACGAGACTTTGATGTAGAAGATAATCTGGGCTTGCACGTCCTCCACATTTCGGAATCGCAATTCCGCGCGTCCTTGGTTTTTTTCTTTTGCGTCTCTGGCAAGAGACAGCACGTTGTCATTGTGTTCGCGCGCGCCCGTCCTCGTGAATATTTCATCGAAATTTACTCGTCGCGCTGGCAGGGCTAGAGGGGCGCGTGCCGAACCGCCATTATCCACGTCGCGCGGCTATGTACATTTTGCGAAAATCGACCTAGTATAGCAAGAGGCGCGCTTGTTTATCAATGCTAGGGCGACACAACCGACGCGAGCAGTGAGCACGTGCGAAAGTTGAAATTAGTTCGTCACCAGCCTCTCACTCGTCGTCAGCTGACAGCGACTAATTTAAATAATTGTTGCTGTGTGCCGCTGCAAAATCATATATGCATTTACACTTTTTTCTCTCTGCATTACTTATTAATTGCCAATTACATATTATGCGTTTAAGATAAATTCTAACCCAGTTTTTTTTCAGTTTTTTTTTTTAATATATTATATATCGTTTAATGACATGTGTGAGTGAATTGCATATTTATAAAAATTACTGTGAAGAAGAAGTGATGCAACTGTTTTAAAGAAATATGAATTATTTAATTAGTTCAAAGATATGTTTTTAACTTTAAAAGAAAAACAAATCTATACAAATATTTTATATAATTCAAAAATTACTTATAAAATAAAATTTTTATTAAATAATATGTGAAATTTAAAATTTATCTTATGATGATTAAAGTTCAAATTATTCAGCTAGATTATAACTTTTTAATAATTTTAAACTTAATCTTTCACTAATTTTTTAATTTTATTTGTTGAATTCTATCTAAAATAATTAGACCCCAGCGCTCAGCAAGTTGGTTTAATTTGGAAACCATTTTGCTTTCAAATTAAGCTTATGAGTTCTAGTCTGTTTTTTGATAGGGCTGGCTGCTAATTCTCTCTTTAATGGGGTTTTTTATTCGCTGTTATTTAATTTATTATTTAATCAAAATATGATAGACTTTTATATAATTTCACTATTTTTTTTACAGGTTTTCTTACTTTATTTACGATTATGTTTTTCAGATTTTTTCTTCTCTAATATGGTTATGTTTGACAAAAATAGTACAAATTTCAACTTGAAGCAATTTGTGATTTTTTTCTATTTAAAAATCTTAACCGTCAGAGATTCATGCAGAAACTCAAAGTTACAAATCTCCTTATTTCATTTCACTTTTCACTTATATGAAAATTAAAAAAAGTAGCTTTAGAGTCTCAAAGAAATATTTGAAGCATATAATATGCGAAAAAAATGTTTTTAACTAGAACCTCTTCTTTTAAATTGAATTTGATCTTAAAACGTGGCTCTTCGCTTGTCTTGGTATCCTGTAGGAATCGTTTTTCAAAAAGGACCAAATAATTTGTACTCAATGTTTGCCTGTAATATTTTTCCCAGGTGACGGCTGCATCGACGAGGAGGAGTTCACGACCGTGTGTTCGTCTTATGGGGTGAGCCCTGCCGAGTGTTCAGAGGCATTCAATCGATTCTCTCAGGTATGAAAAATAATCTCCCGCCTTCTGCCCACAACTCCATTAGACGTCCCTGTCTCTCGGGATTTGGCCCCGTAAGCTGCGTTTGATGACACGCGTGCGTCCCTCGTCAACCGCCGACATAATCCCGTCGCCGGAAATCTCCGATTTTTCTACAACGAAATGCTCTCTTCTCGAGTTTAATTTTTAATTTAAAAAGCTGCCGTTCTCGTTGCGATGGACGAAATTGCAGCAATTCTCCCTTATGTAATGAGCGCAGCCTGCGAAAGGGTTTTTGTTTGCTCGGAGCAAAGTTGTGAAGCAGCGATGATTTCATTTTTATGCTCGAGAGAGTAGCTGCTGCTCCCTTGACAGGCAATATTTCATCTTTGAAAGTGCTTTGAAACTTTCATAAGGGACAAAAACACTTAGGGAAAGTTATCTCTGTGCCGTCCAAGATAATTGTTCTCTGGGATAATACGTTTGATCAACTGTGAGAGCAGAGGATTAATTTTTTAAGTTTTTCTTCCACGAGATGACAAATTGTTCGCATCGTTTGCAACTCCTTTGTGTTCTTTATTAATTTTTGTAACGTCAACTCTTTATTTTAGATTTAAGATTCTTCTCGGAATTTAAAAGTTTATCAGAAGTGACATGTAAAAAATTAAAAAATATTAAAAAAAATTTTAAAATCCAAACTATATAAAAACTAACTAGAGTCCATTTTAAATTTATATACAACGTTATTTAAAAATTGCAAAAAAGAAAAGGAAAAAGATATTTTCATTTGAAAAAATTAATTATATTTAAAAATTAAATTTAAACAAGTGAACCTTTAAATGTATATATATTAAATTTGTTGATTTAAAAAAAATAGACACGTCCCAATTAGTTCCGCCTACTTTATTCTAATTGTTATGTTTCGTCTCTGCCAAAAAGCGTTTCCCGGCGGTTTAAAAATCCTCCAAGCCATGATCACGTTTGAGGTTAATGAGGCTGACGCTCTTTTCATTTTGCTGTTGCGCAGAACAAAACTGTGACCGTGGACCGAGCCAAATTCGCCGAGCTGTGGAAGCAATACTTCGCCTCCGAGGACCCCAACGCGGCCGGCAACTTCATCTTCGGCAAGGTGCACTTCGAGTAATTCCGCTCTTTCTTCTCCACCACACACCTCTCTTTATCCTGCGTTTCGACGACAAATATAATTACAAATTTATGAATTGTATTCGTGATTGACACCTCTACCTTAACGGAAAAAAATAGCAGTGCGCTGTAATCAAACGCACAAGCAGTCTTCTCGATTTAATTAAATACCCAACAATGCATTATTCGGTATTGGATTTTAACCTCTCTACTATCACGATAGTCTTTCTCTCTTTAGCTGATGCGACTTAAGCAAATCGCGTGTTAAATAATACATTAGTTAATTAATTGTCCGATTAAAGCAAATTCAGACGAAGAAAATGCATCCATTTTTCGTGTTTGTGGAAAATTGATTTGTGATCAATTTTGACTCTGAAAAATGAGATTTTTCTAAAACGTTTGCCATCAGAACATCTCAACAACAAAAAATTAATGAAGAAATGCAGTTAAAGAAACATTATCTAATCAGTCATTATAAACTAATAGCTGTTCTTGAAAAGTTGGCTTCAATAAATTCAATAAAGAGGACACTCGTAATGAAAATAAAAATTTTAATAACATTTGGAAATTAAATCATATACGAAACTAAAATTGAGATTGCATGCGAATCATAAATCGTGCTGATGCAAAACAATAGCCAACTGTGAAAAGAGCGTGAATATCACACCAATTATATGCAATAAAACTGCCACATACTGTTGAGCATATATTTTGCTTTTCGAAACGCAAAACACGCGGGGAAGTCAAACTTATTTCTATGGATTTATTTCAAGCTTCAGCAAAAATCAGAAATTTCCAAATTTGTCAATCTTGCACTTTTCCATTTCACCTAAATTCTTTTCTTCCAGATTCAAAATCGTGTTTGTTGATTGTTTGGTGTTGTGTCATGTTTTGACGTGTGTTTTGCCAGATATCGTTCGGCGTGTGCTGATTTGCATTTTGAGACATGTAAAAAAAAAACTACACTAGACTACAAACAATAATATCGAAGCTCACATACTTATCCAGTGCAATAAGAGAAGTTACTCGAAGAGAACCTGATCCGCGGTTCGAGCCAGTCAACCGCGGATGCATCTTCTCTTCTCGAGATAAAATAAATGAACAACAACAAAACATATCCCCTTGTCGAGAAGGCGGCGTGTCATATCTGAGTGTGCACTTTGATCGATCTTAATAATATAAAAAAAAATATAAAAAATGAGAAGGAGCCTTCTCGCAGCCCACCCGAAGAAGATATTATACCAGTCGATCATTAAGTGCTTAGTCAGTTATAAAAAAAATGTTAAACTCCTTCTCACAAAGATATTGCGAGCATGGATATATAAATTATACACACCCACCCACATTATATAAATACGCTATGATATTATATTATACATACATGTACTAAACGGATTATATTAATAATTAATATATTGTACCCGGTGTATTGTTGACATTTGTAACCGATTAAATTACACGCGACTCAAGTGTAACGATTGAGGTGTAGTTGGTCCAATAAAGTTAGTGCTCCATAAATTAGCCGCATGAACCTTTAATTACGCTAATGCCCGTGTTTGACGGTCCGGCCGCTCTTTGAGCAATTGCTTTCAATCAACAAACCTCCCAGCGCGCCTCTCTCCCCCATTTTGCTGGTTAATGATGTCGTTAATTTGCGTGGAGGTATGTATGTTGTTCGCTCATTCATGCTGATGCTGCCGCTCCGTCACTTAATTAACAGATAAGGGTCTAATTAAAATTGACTCGCTCGCGGCCTGTCTCGTTTTGAGTACATGCAGCGCTCACCTGCCGGAACCAAATAATAATGAACTGACGAGCAGTGTAAACTGATTTGCATTCATAGTCAAGGACCGGCTTTTTGCTAATAAATAATTCAATTTTGATCAAGGTTCTACAAAGGGAACGGTTTGTTTCATTTCACTTCTTGAGCTGCATTGTTGAACACACTACTTTGATTCTATAAAAATGATAAACTTTTCAATTCATTTGTGTTTATGTATTTAACATTTTTTCCGTTATATTTCCAATACAACTACTTCTTTCCAAATCTTAACAGATTTTGAGTATAATTTTGATAATAATTATACAATACTTCTTGTGACTCTCAAAGAGGAGAGTTCAAGCTATAAAACACGGTTCCTTTTAAGAAAGCATGAAGTTGCCATAAAAAAAAGTTTGAATTTCAAGGAATCTTTTTAATATGTTCCAATAATATCGATCATTTTCCAAATGGCTCAAATTAATTGCAGAGATTTTCCTGTTTATTTTCATTTATATTTGAACAGTCGTTACTGACACGCATTTTTAAATTTAATTCTGTGTTAGTAATTTATTCTCTTAATATTTCATAAGCCTGAAACAATTTTATACCAAATATTTTCAATAAATATAATTGTAATATAGTGAATAAAAAAATTATTACTTTAGTCGTTTAGTCTAATAAACAACCGATGTAGAGAAATCTCTAAACATTGGGCAGACGTGGAGAAATATTTAAAACATTTAGTTAGTCGATGTAGAGAGATATAATTATTATGCAATCCGCGCTACACGAGAGTCGAGCAGGTTGCGTAATTTTATTTATTACCTCAGTTTTCATTGTTATTTCATGTCGATTGAATTAACCTCCAAGTTAAAGAAAAGAGTTTGTTTTGAAAGAAGAATGGACTTCGATGGACCTTCCAGCCTTCTAGCCCATTCGTGAAGCGCAGTTTGGAGCAGATCGTTTTTCCAAGCAACAATGGAATAGAAGCAAGCAGCAGTGAGCATGTTTGCTCTCTCAGTGCCTATTTTAATCCCATTCAAAAGGCAGCAGATTAAATCGCTTGCACGAGAGAAGTACGGCTGTACAAAGAGGGATTCCGCAGAAGAGAAAAGAGGCCGCTGGGATTAGCATTGTTTTTCTGCAAGGATGGATTTATTTTTATAGCACAGATGAAACACATACATATATATTTCCATACACGTGAGGCGAAGTTAAGTGGTACAGTGTATAATACAATATGCACATGCAGATATAGTATGAGAATAACATGAGCTAGTATAACAAGTATGTATAGAATAGTCGTGATATGTGACGGGGAGATGGAACTGAACAAAAAGGCGTCACGCCACCAAATGCGCCGCCGCTCCCATGCAAATTAGACTCCTCAACCTCGGCTCACTCACTCTGTCGCGCCACAATCATTATTTCATGTGTATGCAAACTTTTTTTATCATCGGTCGCAAGAGGAAGAAAAATGAGACCGAAAAACCCGCAGACAGGCGAGAGGAAAAAACTTTTAAACTGCTGATGGTGTTTGTTAAAATTAATCGGATTGTCAAAAAGTTTTGAGCTTGAAATCTGACGGTTTTGAGAGTAATTTTTCTTTCAGACTTGGTTTAAAGATGTTAAAAATTTGTTAAGCATAGTAAATTTTCTGGAAGCGGACTGTTTTATTATTATTACTTTTTTGGCACAGAAAATTATAATTTAAAAGAAGAAATTCGCACACGTGGAGTGAAAAGAGGGCTTATCACATGTTAAATATTTACTTCTGACAAATAAAAAGGCTCTACCAGTTTTTTTCATTGAATGATCAGGAAATTACAAACACAATCAGCAAATTGAAGAGATTCGTTTCTATCAAGAAGTTAATACTGTGTATTTTAGATTATAATATATAATTAATTATTTAATAATATGATTATTTCTTGCTCACATAATAGCTGGTTTGCTTAAATGATAACGAGTTAAAAGGTCTTGACTATAATAAATTATAAACAGAGATCTTTAAAAAAATGCATGAGCATTATATACAACATGATTATTTTCAACGATTCAAATAAAATTTTGCTGTGAAACAAATTTAAATTGATAACTGTGTATTTTATAATGATTTAAAATAAATATGCATAGTGGTCGTTTTATCGAATATTAAAATCTGCGTTTTGTTATAGTATTTAAATAATAAATTATATTTTATTATTATTCTCGGAAAATGTACGGCAGAAGAAAATTTTTCGTCTTTGTTAATAATTTCCAGAAATTTCCTTGCTCTATTGACAGAGAGTAGCAATTTGGATGCGGAAAGCACGGCTGCGGAAGAAGTGAAAAATTGCAGCTTTTATCGACGCGCCAGAGTTGCGAGCGAGTTATCCACCTATAACCACTTTCGCACGAGTCCAAAACTTTTATCAACAGCGCGCATCAGGTATTTGCTGCAATCATTTTTATCGGCCGACACGTATGTTCGGATTCGGAGGGAGGAAACGAATTTGGGGAAACTGCTGCGGCTGCAAAAGTCGATCCACCGCCAGTGGCAAAGTTGAAACAAAGTTTTACCAACCACTTGACTAATAATGGAAAGACCCCTACTTTTCCGCCCGTTGTGTGATTTATATCTCGCTTGTAATAAGCAAGTTGCTATATTTCTCTGCCCTCGGGTCAAAATTTAATCACACCACTGACGTCACAATTTGATTTTTACGTTTCAAACATAGATTTTTTTATTTTTAAAAAGTCGCGGTTTTATAAAGGGGGGTACATTTTGATGGATTTATTTAAGTCTGAGATTTTTAATTTTACAAGGAGTATTTCTAAACAAAAATCTATTGTTCCCATCGATTTTTTTTTTGTTTGTTTTAATTGCAAGGCTTTGTAACAATTTTTTGTATACTCAATTTTGCTATGTATGTTGAAGGCTGGTGTACATTTATCTGAAATTTTCCATTCCACCTTTTACGTATTCCTTTTGCCCACAAATAAATAATAAATAAAAAAATGGCGTTTTTACAAAATTTTGGTTTAAAATTAAGAATAATAAAATTAAATAAATCCTGATGGACGTTTGTGTTGTTGAAGGTTCTATTTCCACTAAACGATTACCAACATCAGTCACGCGTACAGCCTTTGTATTGTCATTTCTTTCTTGGCCACATTTGATATTTTTATTTTGATAAATTTTCTTAAGCTGTTTGCAGTGCCAACGCATTTAAGGAAGCTTTCAGGACAAAAGAATGATGGTATTTTTTTTTTTCAAAATGTTAATTAATAAATTTAAAAATGATGATTTCTTAGTTCTGTGATGAACGATTTTGTATGCAAATTTGTGAATGTTGTTTGTATAGAGGTTAAAGTATAATATTAGGACCCTGACTGGCACCCTGACTCCTTTTTTTCGCTTCAGACTGCATGCTCCATATTTTACTATTTTGTGTTCTATTTAGAAAAATTGCAAGAAGAATAATATAAAAACTCTCTTTGTCTTCTTAAAAATAAAATAAATAAATACTGGTCATAAATTCAGTGTATGTCTTTGAAAATTTTAAAATCGCTTCTTTATGTTAAAATTTCCAACTTTCTTCAAAAGATACTTTCCCAAAGGAACAACAATTTTTTTGTTTTCAAAAAATAATATTTAATTTTAGATTACTTATTTAACAGTTTAATTATAGGGATCGAAAATACCGTTTTGAAATTAAGATTTTGGTTTATAATAAAAAATTAAAAAGTTGCTTCTAATCCTTTGATTCTAAATAAATTGAAATTTTATGTAACAAAAGTAAACTTTTAGACTCAATGAATTTCATAAAAGCAAATAAATGATATGGTAAAATTCCATGAGTCCTTTGTGTTAATTCTCAGCCAATCAAGTTTAGTCCTTTTCTTTTTAAGACAGGGCACACTCCTACAGCTTTATCTTGGACATGGTCTCGAGAAGCGAGTGTCCAGCTGGTTCAGTGGGCGACGATTCCTCCGAGCTGGTTGGCGGAGCGACCAGGACATTGTTGCCGTTGGCGTGGTCGGCCAGCAGTTGCATTTTGTGACTCATCTCTTCACTCGGAGAGTCGAGGAAGGATGAGACTTCACCATGTGAAGAGGAGCTGCCATTGCCATTGTTGTAGAAAGAACTGTTGTCGTACTCCAGGACCTCTTCGTCCTCTAGACTGGAGTAGGATGCGGTTGTCCCGTCCGAACAGGGCTCGCCACTGCTGTCCTCACCACTCTCATCATTGTTGCAGTCTAAAATAAAGTTTTGTTGTTAAAATATGTTATTCTATTTTAATGTTATTATTAAAATTTTATTATTTTAGAATTAAATCTTTTTTAGCTTAAATATTTTTAATTAGATTTTATAAATTTATTAAAAATGCAGCTTATTTAATGGTTTTACAAATTGATGCAAATGATACTATTTAAATAGATTTACTAACAATAAGATAATTTTTTAATAATAAATCAATTATTTTAAAAACAGGAAATTAATGTATACTTAGGTTTATTTCATATATATTTATTAAGTAAATCTTAGATCTTGATAGGATACGCGTTATTGATTGTGATTAGTAAAATGAAATAAATGCTGAAATTTTGAAAATTAAAAATTGTTACTGCACTGTCTGTATTTATTAAAATTCATGTTGATTGAGGCAAAATACATTTAAATATTTTTATGTGTAATAAAATCACATGTTATGCCCACTCTCAAAATTTGATTTTCTTAGCACATAAAAATAATCAATTCAAAAAACTGAACTTACTTAGTTGAATTTTCTCAATGATTAGTGGGTAGAGCTCTTTAGCAGTGGCGTTGTACGGCTCATACTGCAGAACTGAAACGCAAGAGTGGAATATTTATGAGCGTCTTGTCTCATTTCTTGGCTTGCTAAAACTCACTGAGTTTGCAATATTTCAGCGCCGTTTCGTAGTCCTTGGTCATGATGGCGGACAGGAACTGCGAAAGAAAAATAGTTTCTTAACATAGAAAATACTGCAAAATGGGTGTGTAAGAAAATAAAGAAGGCCTATATTCATACTGCAGATGAGAAAAGCCGTAATGCGGCGCCACTCAAATAGATTTATGTATGGTCCGCAGCTATTTTATTCGCCCAACGTTTTGCCAACGGCTGTGGAGAGCCGTCGAGCTGCGATTGGTTTGCGAAAACCCCTGCGGATTAAATACCGACTGCGCAAATGTTGGACGAATTGGATATTTTTCATTTATGAATAGTGATAGTAAAAATACGTCAAGTATTGTATGTAATGCGTTGATAAAGCTTCAGCACACCCTTGGGGGGTTTGACTGCTGCGTGAGGAGATTCCCTTTGAATAAATTATAACTAGGAAATTTTTATGCTTTGAAGAAAAAACAGTGGAAATAGGACGATTTTTTAGCTAATAATAAAATATAATGAATTAAGGCTTCATGCAAAGAAGAAAAAACGATTTTTTTATTAATTGTCTGTGTGGTATGAAAAACCTGAATTAATAATACCAGACTTAACTGCTGGACTATTGAAAATCTTAAGCTACAGTTACTTATACTAAAGCTTTTCATTAAAAGAAAAAAATATAACTAATTTTTACTATAATATACTGTTAAACAAAGACCTTTTTTCTAAAACGCGACATTTTTTACAATTATTTTTTTAAAAGTCAGTTAGTATTTATGTTACGAGATGATTTTACAATCTACACGCCAGGCCGGCGCCCTGAATGCCAGGACAATCTGATAGATGTAACAAAAAAATCTTAAATATGCGCTTTTTTTTCTTAAATTTTACACTAATTTTGCAGATTTAAAAGAACATGTAGCACAATATCGATGAAATTCAATTCACGGTATTTCTGGCCCCACTTCCATGTAGCCAACTAGGCGCCGATAGGCTTGTTAAAGATTACTGAGCTGATTGCGTGCAAGTCGCGTGACTGTAAAGATACAGAGTTGCGTGTCAAGCGAGAAAAATTCAAAGGTCTCACCTCGGCGAGGAACTCAGTTGGCGCCGATGGCGTGTCCTCGTGTGCGTCCGTGTACTCGCTCAAGGACTCGAGACTGCCTTGGGGCGTGTTTGTCAGGCCTGGAATCATTGCTGACACCTTGTTGCTTTTACTCGGCTCCATGACTGAAAAAAAATTTATATCTGATGAATAAATAATTCTGTTGTTAATATTTATTACAGCAATTCATTAAATATCAGCTAGCTGCAGAAATTATTATAAGGCTTGAATTGAACAAATCACCCCTTTTTCCAAAGTTTTTCTGGCTTTCAAAATCCTCAAATAATGACTTACAAATTAAAAATTAATTAACAAATTTAATTCTTATCGTTTGTTAGTGTACAAGTTTTAAAATTATCCCCGAAAATGCTAATAAGAAGTTTGGCATACCACAACCAATAACAAAACATTCATTTTTATCTTTCATTTAACTGCCAAGTTTTAAATATTCTCAAATTTTGTTTCTCCTAATGTTAATCAAAATATCGACCAAGTAAAAATTGTAGATTATTTTCCAGCTCGTTGAAAATCCGTTATAATCTATATGAGATCTCTCAAACACCGAGAGCCTTTTTCGCTAAACATAATCTCACACTTAAACTGTGCCGCATGAAAAAAAGCATAAACGAGAGTCATAAAAGGAAAGTTTCTCAGGTGGAAGAGATAAAAGAGTTGCCGCGCTGATAAACCCTTTTTCCTCTCGTCCTTTGCGTGAGCAGCAAATGCAGTGCAAATGCGTCACCTCAGATCAAATTTTGCACCAGACACTCCTTTTGTGTCTAATGAGACAGACAAAAAAAATGCTGCGGATTTAGTTCTCACAAGTTTATGAAACGAAGAGCATTTTAAGTAGAATGAGACGAGCGCGACGCCATCCTTTTTTGCCGAGTGCAATCTGTGATATGAATAATTCAGAGGCGTGCTCAGTTTTTACGTTTTTGCTGCGGCGGTTAGGCAATGAAATGCAAATTTCTTTGGTGAGATAGGTTTTTAATTTGGAAACAAGCAGTGCTTTCCAGAGCGTTGGAGAAATTACTTCATTTTAACATCATGGACTCCGGATCATTACTCGGCTTGCATTTTATACGGATTGCAAATATCAAATTAAACGTTGGATCTTTATGATTTTTCTTGCAAAATATTAACAGCTTGCAAACTTTAACTGATTTAATGCAGAAGAAAATACTGATCTATGCTTTTTTTTATCATTTGACAATGAATATTTGCAATTTCAATTATTTTAATGAAAAATTTTTTAGGTTTTAAAAGACTTCTGGGTCTTTCTCAAGCAAAAAATTAATGTTTTAAAACCAATTGAAAATAATATTTTGTTACGTTGAGAAATTGACACATTGCTGAATTAAGTTTTAAACAAAATTTCGTAAATCTAATTACCTCAAATTCAGAATTAGTTGTTAAATGAAATTGATTGTGATAAACGAGAAAAAACAACTCATTGCGGCAATACCGCAAGGTCTTCTGGTGTAATAAAATAGCGAATCCTCGATAAAAACCATTTTCATTAGAACATCGGTGGCGCATCACGTCGTCCTTGATGACCCAAGTCCAATCAACCTGACATTCTCACACTAATTGGAAAGCGATAAGTACGGCGACGTGCCGTTGTTACCTGCCTGATGATCTGCGATTGATTTCCGCTCTGTTGGCACGACTATCCACGTCAGCTTGTCAGACCGAGTTAATTACAAGCGGGGAAACACTAATTAAGTCGCGCGTTGGTTCGCCGGCTAGGCCATTCATTCCGAGCCCCGAACATCGACCAAACAAACCGGCCGCAGGAGGAGGGCGCGTAATTGGTTGCTAGCGACGGCCTTGGTTACTTCGGTATGTATTTATTACGTGGTGGGTGTGGGAGGCGCGCACACACAATCCACCCAACTCTATATTTACCCCATTCACCAGAGAGCGAACTGTAACGGGTGAGATCGATGTAGCTCTTAGCTTTCAACGGACGAAAGTGCAAACCTGCTCCAGACCCTTGCAAAAGTTCCAAGAAGAGGCGCTAATTGCGACCGACAGTAATAGAACGAGAAGGGAAATTAAAAGCGTTGTTTGTAGGTCAAGAAGCTTCTACTTCTCTTTTGTTTCTTGCCTCTGGGTCTGCAAATAAAAAGGGAACTGAGTCGGCGTTAAACTTTGTAGTTTAGTGAAGGTATAAGTTCAAAATAGCGTTATCGTGTTATGGAAGCAGTTTGTCGGTGGTTTTGATGTGCATGGTACCTTTTATTAAATTTGTTCAGAGAGCGAGAGGGGAACATCAATTTGCCAAAAGTAATTAAAACTTTCTTGTTTGAAGTTCTGAAATTTGAATCTACACACTTTAATAGGACTTTACTGGTTAGTTAGTTATTAAAATAAGAGAAAATGTAAGCAAAAATGTTTTTCAATCAACAGGAATTTAATTTTTTTAAGCAATGGAAATATTTTAGATATACATATTATTATCATGAAAGCTTTTTATATTATAAATTTTTCATTTTGTACATTTATTTTATTGTTATAAGAAAAATATTCTTGATTACCACAAAACGTAAGTAAGTTAGAGTAAATGGTTTAATGATTTTTTCAATTTTTTGTCTTCAGCAAAATATAATTATTTTCGCCGTTACATTTTTCTTAAAAACAAAAAGGATTCCTTATATGAAAACATAGAAAATAAGTTATTGTGTATTATTATCTAAATAATTCACAGCCCACAGTAGAAACTTTCGGAGTAGAAAAGTGTTATGTGAAACTCTATGGAACAACCATGGGAACAACGAGCCTGCAATGAACAATAAAAACCCCATAGCGCTCCTTTAAATTATTATAAGAATTTATAAATAAGAGACCAAAGTCAATAAAAAATTTTAACGATAATTTCTTCTATAAAAAAGATCTAAAAATGTCAATGTATGCAACCATCGCATTTGTTAAGCTGTACAGGTTGCATACTTCCACAATATTCAGCTGTCAAATCCGCTTGTTCAAAATAGTGTAGCGAAACCACACGCTATATGCAAATATTTCAACGATGAGCTCCTTGTCAGTTTTCCGCTAAATTATTCAGGACAGCCCATTCCATGAGACACAACCGGCACATTGCAACACACCAAATTGCAAAATCCGCCCACCATCAAAGTCAATCTGAATTTGCGAGGATTTCATGGCCTATGAAGTTTCTATTGTGCGCCATTCATGCACAGGCTGGCAGCTCGAGTATTGATTTTCCTCCGGCTTCTCCGTGTATGTTTGGACTGAAACATCTGGCTTTCGATTTCAAGCCGCAAGTTCAGTGCCAAGTCCGCATCAACTGAGCACAACTGTTTCTGTAATGACCTTCTTCGCCATAACCGAATCGAGCAAAAACAAACCGCAGCAACAATAACGAGCAAATACACACTGTTTTAAAATGAGCGACTCAAATTCTACATGTCGTGCGAAATTCTCTCACCTTTGCATAATCGGAAGTCTCCGTTGAGGAAATTTTCTCGAGGTCCTCTAAGGGTCAACAAAGGAACCGGCGGAAGAGAGGCACAACAATGCGGAGGCCATGAGAGAACTGGCGGCACTGACTTTGACCAGAGACCTCTGATGTAACGTTGAAGAATTCTCCACCTCGCGAAATCGAGCAATCGATAGCTGGCAGCGAGCACCACCAACAAGTTGCGCTTCGCCGCCGCGCCTCCCAGAGCGTTCTCCGCATTCCGATTCGCACCAAACGCAGTTAATTATTGCAATTGACTTTCCATGAAAACTTCATTTTATTCCGAATGTGAAACTTAAGATATTTTTCGGAAAGAACAACAATACTAAGAAAAAAAAATATATCTAAACAGTAGATAAGATCAGTTGGGCAATTTCATAAAAAAAAAATCCACTCTGATTTAGAAATTTAAAGAGAAAAACTGTTAATAATATTTATAAATGTGCCTGTAAAATGGGTTATTGCCTTATTAAATAAACAATGTGATTTATTTAGTCCATCGTTGATAAAAAAAAAATATTTTAAATATAATTATGTCCTTTTATTTTAAATAAGATGAGTTTTCATTGCCATATTTTCTACTAATTTTTGTATTTTTTTCACGAATCTGGGACTTCTCTGATCCAAGCATCCAAGCTAACTCGCGGAATCAGCGAAGAATCACAAGAGACGATAGGATTTCTGAAACAGAGAGCGTATGTATGGTATTTTTATTACGAGAGCTAGTTTGCTCGATTCCCTTGTCGCGGCTACACAGGATAAAAAAAACGAAATCGGATTGGAAACGTGCCCAGCATTCACATGCACCCCATCTGTACCTGGAATCATCCTGTTGCCAGAACACAAGTGGCTGAATCCGAGTAAGGCCGGCCGAGTTGTCACAAATTATTCTGGCCAGACTTGTCTTTCTGATTTCATTCAGTTGCTCTAAAAAAAGTTTTAGTTTAAAAAAATCAATAATTGCTAAAAACGCAATCAAAATTATTATATTTGGGGCTGACTTGTTCAGGCTTAATTGACTAAGAAAATACACATTTTTTTAATTGCTAGATATTTGAATTAATTAAAATAAATGAAAATATCTTGATTCTTCACAAGTAGGAAGTACAATAAAAAAATATTTTTTTAACAAATTCAGTCTTAACTTTTGAAACTAATTAATTCTAATTAATACCTAGGGTAAACGAGCTAGGCTGATTGCCCAGGTCGTAGAAGAAGCGGTCACCCTTTTTCAATCTGGCAAACTGGTCACCAACAAGACACAAGAACGTGTGTCCCAAAAGAGCCCCGGACGACCTTCTTTCGGAAATGCCACCGACATAGAGATCAATGTCATCCACGCTCCGGTAGATCCGTCGCAAAACTTGCAGAGCCTGCAAATTTCGAGGTGGGTTAACAACTTGACAGCCCTCGCGAAACAAAAGATTAATGTCTTTCCCACCTCCGGCTTGATTGTATCTGTCAGATCGGTGAAGTCTCGCGCCCTTTTTAGACCACACAATTTCCGGTACGAGTTGTATCCAGGCAGACCGTGGTCGCGCCCGCGCTGGATGTTCAGGCTCAAAATATCAAGGCCAAAACTACCCCTGCCTTGGAAAAGGTGTTGAGTTAGCTGGAAAAAAAATTCATTCATATTTCGGGTACACATCAAATTAATAAGTACATGTCATATTTTTTCATGCCGCATGAAGTTATGGACAATTCATGAATATGTTGAATAATATTTTCCCAATTTAATAATATACATTGTCTAGTAACTAAAAAAATTCATCAGAGCTAATAACTTAGCTTTGATGGAATTTTATTAAGAAATTAGTTAAATGTGAAATTAGCATGATCGATAGTAATTACAATAACAATACTTTTTAAAGCAAAATCATGTCCTACCTCTTCACTGAAAACGTGGTCAAAAGCGCCCAGGGGTCTGCCGCACTGTCCAGCAAGCAGAGCGTCGCCCGCGTCTGGCCAGAAAAGCACCTGAGGACTGTTGAGCGTCTCCCTGAGTGGCAGGCGCGACTCGCCCGATGCAGTGGAGAGTCGCAGATCGCCTCGGACAAGAGTGTGGAGCCTGTAGGCGGCGGCAGCAAACTCATTGGTGATGGACGCGTCGTAGTTGAAGTTGTAGTCGGTGGAAAAGTCGGAGGCGAGGGGTAGAAGGCCGTAGGTCTCCATGAAGCGGCGGCCGAGCACCACCGGCAGGAACTCGTTGTAGGCGATGTGCTGCAGTTGGCCAACGACGATGCGTCGGGCCTCTTGGTAAACGGCGTCGTCGCTGTACTCGGGGTGCATTCCAGCCAGGATGGCAGCCACCCTGTTGTGCTCCCTCATGAACAGGGTGTGCAGAGAACTCAGCAGGGGTTGTTCGTTTACTCTCGAATCTCCTAAACAGTCAAGAAAATCATTAAAATAATTTATGTAAAAAAACAACAGCAATTTAACATTTTAAATAAAAAACAGTTTAATTTTGAAAAAAAATTAATTTAATTAGATTCGTCAAAAAACGATCTAATTTTAGTCCATAAAACGGTAAAATTTGTGTGCCTCTGATATTAAGAGAAACAAATCTTGGGCGCCTGTCACTTAAAAATAATTTTATTTAATTTTTTTTCAAAATAAATTTTTGTTTTAGTTTAAAAATTACTAAGAAGTTTAACTTGGATTGTTCAGTCTGTGTAGAAACATAAAATATAATAGAAGTTTTAATTTTCTTCAAACTTTTTATTGTTAGATTTTTATGAGTTACCTGAAGCAAAGCAAAAATTTGGATTTTCATTAGGACCCCTTTGCGTGCACCCTCCGCTCTGCGAAGGCAGCAGGGCTGCTGATCCTCTGTTCCCAGAGCTTAAAAGGGTCCCTCGGGGTCCGACCAAATTTCGCGCCGTTTGTCCGTCCGAGCCGTAGAGCATTGAGCCGTCCAGCCAGTGCGAAACAGAATTCATCTAAAGAAGCGCATACGATTTTAGTTGAAGAGGAAAAGCCGATTTTCTGAGTTTTTCTTACTTGGTTAATTGCCCCGAGGGAACAGTTGTGCGTCAGAGCGGGCATGGTGCGGACGAAATTCATGCAACCTTGACGAAACCTCGAGAAAAACGGGTCGTTAAAGGGAATCTCGATGGGCATGCATTGTGGATGACGCTGATGCGGCGGAAGAGGAGCAGAGCCGTCCTGCGTGCAGCACTGAATGCCGCCTCCACCACCTAATAAAATAGAATTTTTTTATTTTACAACAATTTTTTATTGCTTGACAGCATATATAATTATCAATTTAAGGTTTATTAATTTCAATTATTTATCTTTTTTTTCAGATTTATTTAAGAAAAAGTTTAAAAATAAGATTAGATTATATAAGTTTTCTTTATGTGAAAATGCTTTTGATATTGAAATTATATTATAATCTTCTAACATAAAAACACAAAGCTCATTGATGCAAGAAATGAATTATTAAATATAATTAAGCGGAAAAAATGGCCTTACGCAACTGAAAAGATGGACTTTGCACGACATCGTGGTCCAAAAACTGGCCAAAATCGGCGACCAGCGCTGATAACCTGCGATCCAGTGGGGCCCTGTTGCCGTCAGTGGACAAAATAAAGCTGATTTGGCGCGCACTAGGCAGAGGGCCGCCGTCTCGCGCAGATCGTGGCACTTGAATACCTTTAACAACAAAATTATTGAGTTTATCAGCAATCAACTTAACTGTGATTTAAAAAAAGCACTTCATTAATTCTCAAAATCAGCCGTTTCATAGCTCATAAATGCAGTTGAAATTTTAAAATCACCTATAAAACTTGTAAATGAAGACACTCTGAATTTAAGACAATCATATCACACTGTTCATTCATTCAATATTATTTTTCAAACAGCAACATTTAGTCTTATTGTGATCTGTATTTTTTACACTAAAAAGGATTTGAGTGGGGAAAAAATCATTACCGTCATCGTAGTGGGCTGGGAGCAACCTCTGCAGAGGACTGGTGGCCCTGCCGACCCACGACCGCCTGGGATTGTTGCAGGTGCCGTCGTGGATGCGATACTTGCTGAGGCGCGGCGAGCAGTTGGGCAACGGGGGGCATGACTGGCCCAGCTGGGTGCTCTGCACGCCGACCTGGCGCAGTTCACCGCTGGGGTTGGCGATGCCGAGGCGGTTGGTCAGGGCGCTGGTGGCCGCCGCGAGCTGCAGCGCCTGCACTGCCAACTCGCGCGCCTCCGCCGTCGTGTTGAACACCTTCAGGTGGCCGGCCGAGGGTGAGTCTTTCTCCACCTTGATGCCCATATCTGGCAGCACCTTGTTCTCAAAGTTCTCCAGTTTTTCCTTGAAGGACATGCCATTGTCCGAGCTGGCAGTGAGGTCGTCAGCGCTCACAAAATTCAGTTCAGGTCCAGTGTTGTAGGTCGTGTCGACTTCAATTGCCACAGCTGGCAGACTTTGATCCACTTAAATCGTGTGTATTTTTAAATTAACATAATTATAATCACATGCACTTTTCAGTCTGAAGTTCAAATTTTATTAGAAAAATCTAAATAAAAAGATAATAAAATAATACACCAAAAACAATCAGATAATTAATATCAAATAAAATTAAGATTTCTTATTGAATTTTGATTAAGAAAATTACATAATGAAAGACAAATAAATTAAATTTGGTAAAATTTTTAGTGAATTTCTTAAGCCTTAAATTTTAGCGTTGGAATTTATTATCCAATGTAATTGCTAAAAGCTTGAGAGAATTTTAAATGAAAGCGGGGATATTTTTAAGCACGACTCTTTCTGCGAAGTTAATAAAATATTAATTTAATAACAATTCATTACAATTCAACTCAAAAAATTTAAACTTCCTTACATTTGTAAACTTTTCAAAAGCTTTGTTTTTGTTCGTTAGGTCGGAACGTGTCGGGACAGAATTGCTGCTATAAGATAATGAGAGGTAATTGAATTTCAAATTTCGGGAGCCATACAAATCAGAAAGGTTTTGGTAAGATACTTACGTCTATTCGCGACAACGTCCTCGCAGCACAAGCCAAAAGTGGCATTGGCTGTTTCATTCAAAGGGCTGAGAATGCACGACTGCAATTGTTTACTCCTGTAATTTGAAATAATTTTCTTGATTTATCCATGAGCTGCGCATGCAACACAATACGCGGAAATTCAGTTTCAATTTAATAATTCGAATTTTTTAACCTCCGCGGAACAATTATTATATACCCCGAAAACGGAGGGAAAGTCAATTAATAATATTTAATTTCTATCTTGACATTAATTAAACGAATGAAATAATTGGGGATTAGTCTTTTTAATTGTTATTAAATAAAATTAATAGTTGGTTTAATTTTAACACCCAACAATATCTTGAAAATAATATATTTTCATGCATGTGAGTGATGTGAGGTTACAATAGAAAATAAAATGTAGAGGTGGATAAATATTTTAATTAGTAAAAAATGTTGCTTACTCATCCTCATCAGCGTAAAAAAGGGCGCATCTCGACGGTGGCTTGCACATTTCATTTTCGCTGACACATTTCGCAAGAGGAGATAAAGATTCTTTATTATTAATTGTGATCGATTCCTCGAACTCCGTGGTGCTCTCCTCTGTGGGAAACACAAACGACTCGTCCGCGACCTGACCAGCAGTCACGCAGGCCGCCACCAGCAGCAGGACAAAAGATTTCGCACCTGCAAAACAGTTATAAGCGCGACTTTTAAGGAAATGTTTTTATTCAAGCTAGTGCGCAATCTATTATAGCTCCTCCGATTATGGCGAGCCGGCGAGCGCGAATTAATAATTTCGCTTGTCCTGACGTGGAGCGCGTGGAGAAGAAAGAAGTCAAGCGACCTTCCCCGGTCAAATCGTACGTTTGACCTGTGAGTGACGTAATTAGAATGAAGCTGCCACAAGCTGTCAGACCGGTCAACACTGACAGCCAATCTCTGTCATTTGAAATTCAAAGGGTTAATCATCAGATTAATTTTAGGCGGAGGGAAATGTTAATTTTACTTTCTAGCAATCATTAAAATCAAAATAGTTTAGAATAAAAATTGTATATGCACTAAATATCTGAAAAAAAAAATTAAAAATATTGTAAAAGTCGGTAAAAGTATTAAATAATATTAAAATGTTATTAAATTATTATTAGAAGAAGTGCACAGCCCTCCACAATAAGTTGGTTAGGACATGCTTAGTGCTAAGAAATATAATTTTTCTATATACATATACCTGACATAATTTTTAAAATTGCTGAAGATGATATTATGTTAAAACTAAAGCTCCGCAGTTTTCTTGATCTTGAGCATGCTGATTACTCTATAGCGGCACCGCAGCAATCTCAAACACTCGGTGAGCAGGTCGAGGCTGTATTAGCCGCCTTTAATTATGATGAACTCTTCTCTGCGTCAGGAAAAGAAGAACTGGTGAGAGAACTGTTAGTAAAGAAGTATCACCTCGGGCCGCTGCTCCTCCACTCCTGTCTCAACTCGCCGCCCATCCTGCGATATTGCAACTCATTTTTTTGCATTGAGATACATTTCATATAACGCTTCCCCACCAGTTAAGCCGAGTTTAATTAGCAAGAGTGAAAACCTGTTTGCGGCATTTTTAGAATTGAAAATGAAGCTCTTTGGATTTGCACACATTGATAGTAGTTATCATTTATTTAATTCAGCACAGGCTATATAATTCAGTTGGTACATGAATTGCTAAACTCTACACTTTGACCACTGCCACAAGCAGTGCTTAATTATACCTTTAATAATTGATTTATTTTTCTCAATTTGAGCCCAAATTTGCTTAATCCAAATACACGCATAAAAATATACATGGTAACTGAGAGCAATCGGTTAAATCTCAAAAACTTGTCTGTGTACTCCTTGTAAGCTCTAAAAATTAACCTTATGCTTTTACATATTGTATATTATTTACACACAAGAGAGACATAGTGTATTTGTAGTAGGCTACAAGAGAGCTCTAGAGCAAGCGGAAATTGTAAAATATTTTGCAGAATTTGGACCCTGACATACATATCTATCAAAATGTTTGCCACTTTAGGAAGCAGTGAAATGCACAGGTGACTAAAACAGACAATCTAAACATTACGCAAAAGGAATTCTAAAAATTTTCTTTGGAAAATCCCAATAGGAATAAATAATTACAACTGATCAAAATGCATAGATGGCAATTTTGAAAGTAGAGCAAAACAAGCACCTGAGTTTTGAGTTTAAAATAATATTTTTTTCTGGCACCTTGAAAGTAGCAAATTTTAAGAAAAGTTTTTCTTTTGATTTTCCTTGTTATATTTATACCAGTTAAAGAAGAAGTCGATCGAATCGAAAAGCGTAAAATTAGAAGCCGCTCGAATGGTCTTGTTACAACAATAATTGTTTGCCATCATCACAAATGAAAGAATTACATGATATTATCACATGATCTTGCTACAAACTATCCGTGTAACGCCCCACGCAGTCTACTTAGCACTGGTTAAGTAGCTCATGTCAAAATAAGTCTTTGTCGAATATTTTGCTGATAAAACGAGAAACAAAATCAAGGCGAGATCAGCGTGTGTGTCACATTACGTAGTCTCTGTGCAGCCTGTATGGGGAGAAGATGGGAGTGCTTGCAGTCTCAAGTAGTCGGCCTCTGCTCTGGTTCCGGTATCTCCATGCCACGAATATGGCCACCAACTGGACATAGAAAATTAATTAATTCAGTAAATCCAGCAAGGTGTAGGAAGCAAAGTTTAGCGTGCAATTTGTTAGTTACAAAAAAGCAAAAACAAAATTGTGGCAACGAACAAAAACCAAAAGGCAACTGGTCGATTTCAAAAGTTTACCTCCAAGTACTCCCACGCCTCTCCTACTATAGGAAAGCGCTTGAGATGGCACGAGGGTCTTTTTGGTTCCTATAGCGGACAGTTAGCCATACACCCAAGAACTGTAACCCAAACCGGACACACCACACCACAGGTTTAGTAATTTACATTCAGTTAAACAGGACAAAATCAATTTTCAACAAAAATTTGCTTTGATTCTGCTCAAAATACAATAATTTTCAACTATTGGATTAAATTAAATATTAAATCTTACAGAATATCAAAACAGAACCATACACATGCGAACAATTATAACATTTCCTCACCTCGGTGAAACTGAAAACAAGCCCGATCGTTCCGCAAGTTTTAAATGCCTTGTTTATGTTGGCCTCGACTTTGTCGAAACAGGGCTGACAATCGCACTTGTCGTTCACACAGCACTTGTTGTTCTACAAAATAAATATTATAGTTTTCAATTTACTGAATGGATTACAAAATTCGTACTTTGACATTGCAGGCTGGGTGTCCAAGACTGCCGTTTGTGGCACTTGTGGTGCCCTGGTCAGAATAGAATCCGCAGCAGGTGAAAGTCGATTGGACGTCGGACTTCACAGAATTAGGCACAGTTGTCCAACCCTGCGTGGAGAATGAAAGAAGTAAAAATCTAGTGGCTCTCGGGGGAGATAATTTATAATACCGTTTCAGCCAGTTGCTTCTGCTGGTCGGTGTTGACAGCCAAGCAGGCACAGGCGACGGCAAACTGGACAATGAAGAGCATGAACAGAATAAGCATGTACTAATCAAAGATATAAGGAAAACTAGCTGATCTTATCTCCTGAATTTACAAAAATTATTGCACAACAAAAATCAAAATAAATTTTTTTGGTCAATTTTTTTTCTTTGTAAAGGATACGAAGAAAAGCATGACTTGGTGGTGTTTCAGAGCTCCGACGAGACCCACAATTGACACAATGAACAGGATGATTCCGCATGCCAAAATGCCGCCGACGATTGGCAGGTCGGTGACCAAGGACGAGGCCCTTCCATAGACGGCGACGCTGATCAGCACGAAGGCCACGACCTGTCGAGAAAATTTAGAACTTAATGCATTACGATAATCGAACAAAGGAGTAATTACTATGTAAATAACATTCAAGGCCGTGAGGGCATTTCTAGAACAAGTGAATCCGCCGCACATGATGGGGCCGCTTTTTCTGCTCTGGCCGCCCAAAAGTCGCTCCCCCGCCGCCTCCGAAGGGTCTCGCATTCAAGTTGTCGCTCGGAAGGAAGCGGTTCGAGCCCGGGCCGTGCGAATTTCGTCCGGGGGAAGTGAATTGATCGCTCGTAGAAGGCCGGACTTGTTGTTCCTAGCAGGAAACTTTTTTCACTCAGCCCTCAGCCTTGCTAATCAATAAAACATATGATCGCAGATTCACAATTCACAGGCGAGCGATTGCAGCGCCTCTGCAGGGCTATTTTTGCTATCAATGCAAGCAGCGCGAAAATCTTCAAGCCCTTGCGGCATGAACAATTTATCGCAATTTATAAAAAAAAAAAAAAAATACCACATATAATGCTGTATTAATCACTCATTAACATTGTGGGAATATAATTATTTTTTAATTAAGTACACAACTGAGTTTTTTTCCAAATAAGGAATAAAGGATTTGTTTATTATAATATTTTAGGAAATTTTTTTTACAAAAAAATCAAAATGAAAGGAGTATTGAAAATTCAAGCTCGTGAACTATAATCAAAATACGATATTCATTTATTAAAAAAGTCCAGGGTTTACAAATCTTAATGCATTCTAAAAATTTTTAAAAGGTTCTTATTTGGTTCAAGCAATAAAACAATTTAGAATGATGAAGGTCATACATTTAAAAAGCTAATTTTTCAATGTTCGTCAATTGGAATAAGATTAAGTTTGCCAAAACCATTACGAAATTTATGCTGCAATGAATGAAACTAAATAAACGCTAGTACATTCAAGAAGCAGATATCTCTGCTTTGATTAAAAAATGAGCTGTTTTCACTTTAATTATGTAATCGGTCCATAGTAGCCTCACTCTATCCACTCGTCATTCTAATTAACAATTAAGTACTAATGCAAGAAACAAAAAATCCAAAATCATAATGAACAGTGTGGGCTCTCTTATTGTTAGAGGAGCACTTTTTAAAGAAAAATGGGAGAACTGAAGGCGTTATTCTATACTTGAGAGGCCTGAGAGAATCATACATTTCTCCCCATAATCTTGATTGGATTATTCACTCTTTGGTATATCTTCATGATGAATAATGCTACTGTTTTCTGCACGCCTCCGAAGATCTGCCAACAGAAATTAAATGTCAATAAAAAAAGCTTAAAAAAGCTCGCAAATTACATTCAGCAAATGTGCATTTGCTTCTGTCAAATTTTTCGTATTGCTTTTTGATGAAATTTTCCTCACTTCTAGGCTTCTTAGACTTTTCTGTTGGGACTTCACTGCTGGATTGCATTTCTAATCTCTTTGATCTTCGAGGACTTCGAGGGTGTGCATCAGGAGGGCTCTCCTCGGGCCTCTCAGTCTCTGGCTAAAAAATAAAAAATGGAATGAACAATTTTTTATTGAAAATATTTTGGTAAAATGCATCCAACACTATGGCACCTCCATTTAAATTTACCTCAAGATTGGAATTGAAAATTAGATCGGAGGGATCAATGGAATCATTTTCACACAAGAAGGATCCAGAAGCAAGCCCTTTGATATCCAAAAGCTTAGCAGTGTTGAGGAAGGACATCAGTCTGCCTTTTGGTAGAGTCGTCTCACCAGAGTAGATACAGGAGATGATGGCCTTGAGGTCATCATAGTCCAATTCTGGTAGAACGACAACTTGATTTTTGGTAGCAGTGATGCCCTGTTTGAATATCACACACTGCAGTTTACAAAAAGGGCTTAACTTAAACTCAATTACCTTGAAAATTTCTCTCAAGTATGGGCTGAATGCCGAGAGAATGATCTTGTGAGCGACCAAACTTTTGCCCTGGCAGCTCAGGGTGACATCAGCAAATTCTTTGGTGTGTCCAATGTCAGCCAAAAAGTGAGAAATTTGTTCGGAGTGGTTTCTCCATTCCAAATGGTAATCGTACTGCGTATCCTCCATCCCTATGATTTAACCTGTTTCGAAAAATCAGATCAAAAATTATTGGGGGAAAAATGCATTATGAGAAGAAAATGTACATTATGCTTGGCTCAATTTCAATTGAAAAAAAATATACATAAACTGAAAATATTTAAAAGAAGCAGATTTTATTTCATGTATGTAATGTACGTATAAATTTATTATATTAAAATATTAAACTGCCAAAAAATATGGTCAAACTAGATTCTGGCCCTTGATCCAGCATGATTAAAGCATAACATCATCAGCGTAAATCAGCGTAAATGAAAGCCACGTAAGATTTACATGTATGTACACTTTTGTGAAATCATTTCAGAAATTGATACAAAAAACCTCTGGGCACCTTCGATTTGTATTATCAGAGCTAGAAATCCTTACCGACCACCCGCAAATCCAACTATGCCGCACTACGCACGTCGCACTTTCAATACTTATATGAAAATAATCTTTTAACTCACTGCGCTCACTTGCTCTGCGCTCGCGTTTGTCGTCTCCTCTGATGCTTGCCTCTTGCCTGAGACAAGTGCGACCTCTGCGTATGTTCTTGTCTGTTTCTGTTGTGACTTGTTCATTTGTCGGTTGCTCTGGTCTGGATTGGTGGAGTCGGCAGAGATTGCTGTGTATTGAAAATTCCTCTCCGAGAATTGGAGCCAAAAAGGCCCAAGTGACCCAAGGAGATCTTTTGTTGGCTCTAATACAGAAAATACAGCAGTGAATAAACAGATATAGACATGCAATTTTTAATTATTCCTTAAACCGCTTTTACTTATGAAATCTTGAGTATGTCACAAATTTATTAAATTTATTTTTTTAGAACAAAATTAATTAGTTAAATTTTTAATCCTAGCAGTAATAATGAGTTTATTTCAGTTTTTTAATTAAATTCGCAATAATTAGAACAAAAAAATATTTTTCTCGTTAGAAAATTTGATTCGATTTGATTACTCCTTAGTCATATATTATTAGCTTAGTTATAAAATAGGGATAAATCTGGAATTAACATTTTGATTGTGTTAAAGAGTCAAAATATTTAATAAACAACACGACTGCATAATAGTGCTAAAAAATATTTACAAAAAATATATTATATGCTTATTTTATTTTTTCATTAAAACCAATTAAAACCCATCTCAATGTACCTTTTGATACATTCATAATCCATACAGATGATTTTAGTAAAAAATTTTATTAAATTTTTTTCTTTATTGCATGTGGATAAGAGTTTACGGTTTAGTGAGTGAATCTCTTCTTGCAGAGCTCAAGGTGGTATCGGGAGCATTTTTTTAACATGTTTTTGCACATTCAGACCGCGCCAGCAGAACAGTTAAAACTATTACTTCATAATATCAGTTGATTAATTCAGATTATTTACACATAATTTCTTGTTTCATAATATTACATAATAAAGTTATTGGTGCTAACTTTTAAGATGTAAATGTGATTATTCACATTATTTCAACGGATAGCCCATTCTTATTTACTCCCCTGAATAAAATAATTTTAAATTATAAAAATTTTATTATATTTTTCAAGAGCAGAATGCATATGCACCACTATTATACGCCGCAAATAAAGCGGAAGTTTATAAACATACCAGCGTGAATTGTGTATCAAAAAACATTTTACAGGTCCTGGGGAATTCTGCAATAGTGATTAAATGGGTTTTCCACAGCAAATATTCTTCCTGTATGATTTTGTAAACATTTTTCTTTATTTTCTTTACCACTCGCTCATCCACCGTCAACCAGCTCAGTCATAAAAAAAATAGGGATGGCGCTCCATTCAAGAATATTTTTTATTCTTAGTGTGATAGTAGTAATCCAGGTTTTGGTATACCTTTTAAATTAAATTTGGACAATGTTTAAAAACATTCACTAATTGCATAAACACAGATCAACACAGGCAGAGCTAAAGCAAAAAACAAGAAATTTAATTCAAATGGCACTGGTCGGCAAGCACCGAGAACTTTAAACCTTCCTCGAAACGGAGGCTCGTTGATTTTTAATTTAAAATTAAGGCTTTTTCTTATGTTGTTTTCCAGGTTTTAAAAAAAGGCATCATATTATCAGGTGCTGCGGAATGAAGTCCTGCTCAGAATCTACTAATTTCACAAGCCGCAAGGCAGGATTTCAAAAAAGAAAAATGAGAAAAATAATAATTATAAATATCTGTAAATTTTAAAGTAGTCAAACGTCAAAACGGGCAGCACTACTGTTTCAAAAATTTCTGTCGTCAAAAATGAGCCAACTGACACTGGCCAAATTTTTTCTGACACTTCATCAGCTCAGTTAGACACATCAACAATTTTTAAAGAAATTTCTGACGCCCCAAGTTTGGAGACAACTTCAGAGCCTACAGAAACAAATCAATTTAGCACTCCTCCAGAGATCACCAAAGTTGGAGTTTCTGTAGAATCCAGTGTCAAAACACCTACCTCAAGCCCAACATGGGAAACGACTGGCACCCAGCCACTGACAACATACGAAATTTCAACTACCTCTAACAGTTTGGTCAGTTCGACAACGAGCAGAGGTTCTTCTTCTGATAGCAGCCAGGCAACAATTAAAAGCGGAGATGTTACAACAACAGAAATTCCAAGCACAGTAACAAGTAGTACTTTGATAAGTACCACAACAATTACAACTTCTAGCACTACGACGTCTACGACCACAATTGCCACAACTATGACCACTGCAGTAAGTCATAATCTACACAAAACTTTCATATTTAATTAATCTTAAGTAGGCCCTACCAAGCAGGACGTGTCCAGGCACCTGCACAAAAAATGTTGGGAAAATTATGTTTAGTGCCAATTTTTTTAAAATATAATTTAATTTTTAGGCATCTTTATTTGAAAACGATCAATTGAAAAGTGAAACTAAAATTTGTAAGAATTTCACAATTATTTGTTTGTTTTTAATTACTAGATGCACGTGATTATGGATTTTGGATAACTTCAAGTGGTCAACTTTTTCTTTTCGGAAAATCAGTCGTAAAATTACTTATCAAACTTTTTAGTGTAATTCCATAAAATCTGAAAGGTTAATTGGGAAACAAACTACCTTCGTTGTTGTGCCCTCGGAATGCAACCAATTACAATAGAAAGCGCTGAGAAGCGATTGTCTTTGAACAAGTTAACCCGGGGTTGATTCATTGAATTATTTCTTACAGGCCACATTGTAAACGATTAAAATTTATCAACTAAAAATAGGCTGGGCGTACAGTTCCAATTACTGGACTTCTGGACGGAGGATAAACGACTTTGAGTTTAACTGGTGCTCCTCTAACTCAAGTCAGAATTTAACTAATTTTTCCAACGCAACTGCTATATGGGCCGCCGGCAATCCAAATTTGATGTTGCCTGATAGTTGCGTACAATTAAAAATGTCAAAAGATTTGCAGCTAGCTGAAGCCGCCGAAGCAAATTGCTCCAATAAATATGTTTTGGGCTGCCAGGTTTAGCCGAAAAATAATTATTATAAATAAGTGCTTATTCTTTTGAAAAGGGTTTGACGACGCCACCTCCCTCGTGTTTCAGCCCTTCATGTACTGTTTTGAGTTGCAACAAAAAGGTAAAATTCTATTTTTCAACAGTTAAAAGAAAAACATATACTTCTTCGTTTGAAGATGACATATTTCACAAAAACGGTTGACAATGTCACCATGGTTCTGGCCAGTGAGTGATTTATTTTAAGGTGTCGCTGGATTTTTGTGTGAAACTGGTTGATTTTCAGATCCACAATTCCATGGAACTTGGCACTCTATCAATGGCAGAATTTACGTTTTTAGTTTCAATGCATCAACTGTAATTATTAAGGAACAAGCTGAATAGTTTTTTTTTTTTAAATTTAAACATCCGTAGTGGCAAGACGCTAATCTGGCTTGTTGCTCCATTGGAATGAAACTGCTGAGCTTAGACTTTGACTATGAATATAATAATTTGCTACAAGCTCTGAAAAGTACATTTATAAATTATTAAAGGAAAATAAATAACCGCTCGTAATTAATTTGTAGCTATATCAATGCACAATGCAACAACCGAGCCAGGGGAGTTTTGGACTTCCGGCTCTGATGTTGGCTGCGAGTCGAGCTTCGGTTGGTGCGCGGTGAACAAACTGGTCCGAAGTACAAACTGGGCGCCGCAGCAACCGAGCGATAAAAACAAATCTGAAAATTGCATTTCCATTGCGATCAACCAAAATTCTGCTCTTTTATCTGATGATGCTTGCGACAGAAAAATGAGATACATTTGCGAGGTTGATTTGATGAATTGATAAATTAATTAATATTTTCACAATTAAGGTAAAATTTTCAGTCAAGAGACACAACTAAATCATCACGAAGCTCGCAAGCAATAGTTGATGAATGTGGAGCAGTCTATAACGTTACAAGAAGTAAACTTTGACTATTTTAATTTCATGACTTATTTTAAAATCTTTTTACAAGTTGAGGCAGAGAACGTTTTGACTTTGAGTGCAGAATACACAACAAAAATTAAGGTACAATTTTAATCAGTGCAGTACAAAGAAATATGATTTTTTTTTTTTTTAAATCAAATAGTGCTATTTGAAATGCGTCGGGGAGCACAGTGGATTTGTAATTAATTTAAAAACAAAATTATCAAATATATTTTACGGCTCTTTAATTCAGATGTTGAATGGCAAAGTTGTTGACGAGAATATGCTAATGATGGCTGAACTTCTTTCCCCCAAGTCACAACCAGCAAAATTGCAGGACAATCTTGAGGCTGTGGACTCTTGCTCATCTATCAGTTAGATTTTATGAACTTGAAATTTGAAATTTCATGCATTTTACAAATATTTAGAGGGCATGGATGAATGTGATACTGCTGCGCTTGTCTTTCAGTGTGGACAAGAAAAAGCGCCAGACTTTGTGTCCGACATAATTACTTCAGTCGAGCGCAATTCCTCTGCCGTAAATTATAACTATTTTCTAATAAACAAGAATAAACGATATTCGGAAATCATTATAGGAAAAGTCGCCTTTAAATGTTACTGTGGCTTTATGCGCCTCATACGGTTGTTCATTGAATGTGAGATTTTTGTTTGCTGTTATGATTTTTAATTGACGCTTTTGAAAAAGCCAACGAGGCGCACAATGGAGTACGAAAATGCAACTGGTGAATATTTCTAAAATTGCACATTTTATTTTAAAACTTATTCGCGATATTTTACAGTTCTATCTGCATCAGCTAATGGCGGAAAATTTTTCAATGCTTGCAGTGGAAAGCGATATGCTGTATTTTCAGCAAGTGTAATTTAACAAAATATATTTATAATTACCTACTTGAAAGTTATTTATTCTATTCATATTAGACCTTGTATTCTCCCGCTGGTAGCTTGTGTTGCCAGTATGGTCTTCAGATATTGACATTGGATACAATTGCAAAGCAAAATTGCTTCAGAGATGGACGTGAGTTTTCTTGTTTGAAAATGGTGCAAATTTTTTTAAAATAAAATCACTTTATAGTTCCTGATGCATATCGATCAGGGTCATTCCACGCTCCTCTCAGCAGAATGGGAGCGAGTAATTACAGTTGGTGCACATCCAGTAGGCAATTTATAATGAGTGATTTTGGCCAAAATAATGGCACCGATTGGCAAAATGCATCAAACTATCAAATGTTGTACGACTTTACTGGTGTGCTAAATGGCTCCCAGACGCGAGTCAAATTGAGGCCAGCAAACCCATCTGTCAAATGCGGGGTTATCTGTGAGCCCTAAAAATGTTACTTCCACGGCTTCTCATAAAAAAAGTGAAATATTTGGATCTTTTTGAATAAATGTTAATTGGCAAAAAAAGATCGAGCTTCATTCAAAAAATAAAATAACAAAATTTTCAATAAAAAAAATTGATCCACTAACCATAAGATAAAATGAAAAATTATTTTGATTCAATTAGCTAAATTTCCACTTTTCATGTGCTCACCATGTTGAAAGGAATAACCTGGTTTTACATATACATTTCACCGAGGAAAAGCCTGCGGTTCTTCATTTCAACTTATTTTGATTTGATTCTCGGAATAAAAAAAGGGGAAAAAATAGGTATAGTCGGCATGTATGTACCTGAAAATTATAAACCAATTTTGCACAATTTTACAATTTCCAACTCTCATATTTTTTTTCACTTATTGTGTACATAATAACCAGCTAGCATATGCACGTACACATGGGTTGTAGAGGACGGACATACAGACGTTAATCGACGTAGGAAATGGCAATGGGAAATGTATTCACTATTCATGCAATATTTTGACACTATTTCAAACATGGGGATTTCTGAATTTCTCATTCCAACAAAATTTGGATTTCCCAAATATTGTGCTCGCTTGGTAAGCAGACACAACTCTATGCCGCAATACAACAGCCACGAATATGGCGGTTCGTATTATGCTGGCTAGCTTTATTTTCACGTTGGTTGTTCTATTACTCGTAGCTATATTGAATTCCTAAAAATACTCACTTTTATATAACATTTTAATTAAGGTTATGCAAGTTGATGGCGCTAGGAAGAAAGGCAAGCTAACAATTCGGCGCGCACAAACACAGCACAGTCATGCAAAAGGCGCGCGTAAGTATAGGTTTTTTAATTTGTAAAAGACCCTTCTATGGAGAAGTAACATACATATACATTTTGGATTCATTGTTCAGTTCCCTAGAAAATTTCTATTTTGGATTGATGATAAGTTTTATTTTGAATTGTCAGTGGTCTAGAAAAATTTCATATACATACGCGTAATTTTAATTTACTTGTTTTCATTTATGAACTTTTAAAATCTATATTTTAGTCTAAATTTAACTCTTTCAGGGCATACCATCAGAAAACAAGTGGTTAAATGTTGTGGAGCCAAGTCCTGTTTTTCAGAGCGGTCGAGCACAAAATCAAGCAATGTAAAATATTAAAAAAAAAGAATTAGCTCTAAATTTTATTGGAATAGTGGAAAAAATTAAATGCCACTACCATTTCTGATGAAGAGATAGACGAAACAAATGAGGAAGCTGGTGGCCAAGAGTCCTCCACAGAAAATGGGGAAGCTCCGACCAGTGACACTAACGAAGCCTCATCAGTAGAATCAGCAGCAACCGAAGCCCCAGTTGACGGAGCCGTTACTCCGATCGACGAGCAGAGTTCACCTTCAAGTGAAGAAGGAAGTACAGAAGGTGAAACGACTGCAGAATTAGCTGAAAGTTCTTCCATGGCATCATCGTCGACCAACGGCGGTTCCTCTGGCTCAAGTACTTCTTTGAGCGGAGCTTCCAGCCAAAGCGTGCCAGGCATTGGAATGACGACAGGGTGGACTACAACAGTTTCAACCTCAACTACATCAGCTACAACCACAATTACAGCAGTTTCGACCACAACCCCCAAAACTATAACAACAGCCGCAGCTTCTACAACAGCAAAATTAAATGGGAACGTAAAATTAACAAAATCATGAGCAATGATTCCTGAAATCTAAAATTAAAATTTATAACAGGTTATCTACACTTGCCCAAGCAGCTGCACAAAAAATGTAATATATATTTTGCTTAATTTTTTTTTTGAGTAAGTGAACTTTTCAAAAGCTTCATTTCCATTTCAGTCAACATTGTTTACAAACGGCCAGTTAAAAGGTAATTTTGTAAAGAATGGATTTCTTTTTAACAACATTTAAATGTTAAAATAATTTTAAGACCCTCGAGACTTTGGATTTTGGGTCGAGTCTTGCGGTCAGCTTTTCCTTTTTGGGAAATCAATTGTAAAAAATTAAAAAGTTTAATTTGCATTCAAATTATTTGGATAATTTCTAGGTGGACTGGGAAGCAAATTTAAACCGCTGTTGCTCCTTAGGGATGCAACCAATAATGCTAGAGAGCGATGAAAAGCGGAATTGCTTCAACAACCTCACCAAAGGTTGAATTCAAAATTTCCCATTAAAAAAAAAAAAAAAATTCTTATTCAATTCAGATTGGATATTCAATTCAAATTATTGGACGGCGGGGCGGAAGGTCACCGACCTAAATGAATACAATTGGTGCACCACGAGTCAAGTGTTCACCAAAAACACAAATATGTGGGCTACAGGATATCCAAATACAACCTTGACTGCAAATGAGGGCTGTGTCCATTTAAGAATTGTAAAAAACTCAAAGGTTGAGACCACTGAAAGAAACTGCACCGATAAATATGTTTTTGGTTGCCAGGTATTTATTATAATATAGTAGATAAAAGATATAAATCTCTAGATTTATATTGCAGGGAGCGCCAACACCTCCTCCTTCATGTTCAGCCCCTGCTTGCCCGGACTTAATGTGCACTAAAAATGTACAATTTTTGAAATATTATGAATCATTTGAATGTATCAAAACCTTTACAGGTGTCTTACTTCACAACGCTGGCAGATAAAACCACAATGATTCTTACTAGTGGGTGAATCAAATTAATTCATTTAAAAATCCTTATTACGGCTCGTTATTTTAAAGATCCACAATTGCATGGAACTTGGCACTCAATAAACGGAAGAATTTATATGTTTAGCTTTGGCTCGACTACAGTTCTAAAAATTTATTTTTCAAAATTTCTCTGATTTGATTTTTTTTTTTTAGTGGCAAGCAGCGCGTCAGGAATGTTGCTCGATTGGCATGAAACTCTTGAGCGTAGACTTTGATTACGAATTCGATAATTTATTCCAAGCACTCAAAGGTGAAGTTATAGAACTTATTTAATGTGTTCATCTTTGAGCATTTTAATAATCTGAAGGAGTTTCAATTCACAACGTGACAACGCAAGTAGGAGAATTCTGGAGTTCAGGCGCAGATATTGGGTGCGAGTCAAACTACGGGTGGTGCGCCGTGAACAAATTAGTACGAAATGCGAAATGGGCATGGCAGCAACCCAGCGATCGCAATGGATTGGAAAATTGCATCTCCGTTAAAATTGATAGAATAGCACCTTTATTTTCTGACAATAACTGCGAGAATAAAATGAGATATATTTGCGAGGTTTGTTAAGTAAAATTACTTATTTGTGGATTTTAAATCTATTGAACTAGTCGAGGGACACAACCAAATCGACTGGTAGCTCTGAGGCAATTGTCGACGAGTGTGGACAAGTTTTCAATGTCACACGCCGTATGTTAATATTATGATTTTATCTCCAGTTTTGATTAGCACCAAGAAAATTTTTAGAAGAGGCAGAAGACGTTTTGAATATGACGTCAAACTTCACGTCAAAAATCAAAGTGAAAATTTAAAATTTCAATTTCAAAAGAGAACAAAAATGAAACCTTATAATTTAGTGCTACTTGAGATGCCTGGCAGAACAAAGTGGATATGTACGGCTTTCCAACTTAAAAATAATGATAAAAAAAACTGTTAAATTTAATACTCAAGATGATCAATGGCAAGATTGTCGACGAGAATTTGCTAGCCATGGCCGAACTTTTGGCCGCCAAAGCGCCTCCTACCAAATTACAAGAAAATCTCCAAGCTGTGGATTCATGTTCCTCAATAAGTTTTATATCCGAATTATTATCTAAGTCATTTCATTTCTGAATAAAATTAGAGGGCATGGACGAATGCGATACTGCAGCATTTGTCTATCAATGCGGGCAGGACAAGGCGCCCAATCTCGTGTCAGACATAATCGCCTCGGTGGAGATGAATAGCTCAGCGGTTTGATTATTTTAATTTAAATCATAGATTATTTTTTAATAAACATTTATTTCAAGGAAACGGTTCCTCTGCAAGGCGATGTATCTAGATGTCCAGCCGATTTTCCATGTCAAATAGACGTAAGTTGCATGTAAAAAGTATTTTGATTTTTTTTACAATTCATCATTATTTATATAAGGACCTGTCAAAACTTGAATATGAAAACAACTCGCGTATTGAAGTTCTGAAAATTCAAAGGAACCTTTTATTTCAAAATATTTTTCAGTTAATACAACAAGCGGATCAGCTGGGGGAACGTTTTTCACGGCATGTGGGTTACGCTATATAGCATTTTTATCACAAGTAATTTTGAATAGTTACTGATTTTAATTAAGAACTGATTTTTGAAAACATTTTAGCAAACTTATGGAAATGCAGCGACAATATGTTGCAAATATGGACTTCGATTGTTAGTGCTGGATTCACCTGCCAAGCAAAAGTGCATTGTAGAAAGCTGTGAGTTTTTCAAACATTCATTTATTTGATACGACCCTAATTTTACTACACAAACTCAGTACCTGACAGCAATTTTCTTCCTTCTACCGCTCCTGCTAGTAGACTAGGCACTGGCAACTACACCTGGTGCATGTCAAGCGCACAACCATTTATGATGAACGAGTTTGTTCAATCGCCTGTTAATACCTGGGGAGATCAGTCGATGTATCTCCTGACGTATGATTTTGGTAGTGCGCTACCTAACTATCAACCGGGGGATATAGTTTCACTTAACGTGGATCCAGCAGGCCCACTTGCAAAAAACTCATTCGTTTGTGAACCGTGATTGGCCAAGCAGATTTAAAAAACAAAAATTATATGCTAAAACTATATAACACATAATAATTTGATTGGCTTATTGATATTATATTAATAAAAATGATCCAAACCTGCAGCTTTCATTTCTTATTGCTATCTCAAGAACACTGTTTTAGAATAGAAAAGATTAGACTTGATTTTATAATAGCAAAATTATTTTCTAATATTGACAATATGAATGATTTAAAAGACAAGTCGGCAGAATAATGATTTATTTTATTCTTGAATATTTACTTATTGTAAATTAATTTTATTTTCCTCAATCATCTGAAAACTACTTTAAAAGAAATGAAATTTCTGGGAAAAATTTTTGTACGTCAAAAACTAATTGCTTCTTTTGGTCTGCAAATTTTTTATGTTAAATTTCTTAGCAGGAAAAATTATTTTTAATCAAATATTAATAGCGCTACAAAGAACATTATTCACCAAAGAAACTTGTTTAAAAAGATCTAAAGATTAAATTATATTTGTTTGATTGAATTTAATTTGATTTTTCCAAAGACTTTTAGTTAAACATGAAAAAATATGTACGGTTTGCAACCAGCAGTTTATTTATGTTGCGCAGATTGATTACATGTCCACTAGAAGTGTCCTCAAGACATTTACTACCGGAGCCAAATTAGTTTGGAAATATCTTTTGGAATGGAATTTGGTTCAAATTACTGATATACAAGACATATTTTGCAAACTGTTCAAGGGAGACCATCCCCATTTAATTGGTAGACTAATTTGCATTCTGCTTTAATAGTAGCACCAAAACAACTGAACAAGCCCAACATCCTGAGAGCCACTACATTCAAAATTAAAATATATCACCAATTTTCAGGTCTTCCATTTTTTCTTTATCCTTCATATGTCCGGAATCAAAATAGTTTAAACTTCGATTTTTATTTTTCAATAATGGGTATTGCTTAACTATTTAGAAGAATTGATTGAGAAAACAGACGTAAAAGTAGAGTTCTTTAAAATTTTAAAATTGTGTCTTCGGAATCAATTGGTAACTAGAAAAATAGAATTTAGCATTAAGTTCCACTAATTTGGGGTTCTCCTAATATAAATTTTGATTACTAATTAGTAGAACAGATACTTCCGTTTCAATAATTTTTCTGTGGTTTCAAAACAAAATGAATAGAACATATTTTATACTACATTGAAAGGTCGCTAAAGACGGGAGTAACAATTAGAGCTGCAATGGCTCTCATTAGAGCAGCCACAGCCTATAAGGTAGTCTGAACTAAAATAAAATAACTTAGAAATAATTTCAGTTTTTAGATTATGATTTCCATTAGAAAATGTTCTAATTATCAAGTAAGATTATAGTAGATTATTATACGGATTTTAAATAATATTGCTTGGAAAATTCAAGCAAGATATTTTTGTATTGAGATCAATTCAATGTCAGCATTGCACATTATCATACTACTTTGACTACTGTTTAAAAGGCACTTCTTGATAAGGTGCTGTGAGTTTTAAAACATAAAATAATAGTGCTCCAGCACTTTCTACTTAAAACATGGAAACTTAAAACATGCAATTTTTGCATCAAATGAGAGAAAATATTTGACAAGAAGGCTAAAATTTAGAGGTGCTTACTTTCATGGTGGCGCTTGAGGTGTGAAATGCAGGCAAACTTTTGCTCACAGATTTGGCACTTGAACTGGTCAGTGTGGATTTTGCTGTGCCGTAGGTAGTTCTTCCTCGACGAGTAAACTTTGAAGCAAACATGGCAGGTGTGGGTGGTAAAGAAGTGCTTGTCGCAATGAGTTTTGCATGACCTAAAGTCTGCGAAAGACTTATCCTGACACAAACTGCAGTAATATTTGCGGCCTCGCACAACGACCGCCAGTTTTTCAGGTTTTTTGGCTATTTTTCGACGGGGTTCACTTGACGAGCCTGCAAAATTAGCAAAAAATCACATTCTAAATTAGAGACCAAACAAATTCTTGGATAATTTTTACCTTTCCAACATATTTCCTTGCGATTACGGCGGCCTATATCTTTGCTACAGGCTTCCTTTGAGGGAGATTTGGTACCTGAATGCAAAGATACGTTTTCTATTAGTTTTAGAAAACGATCGAAATCTATTTTTTTAAATACCTTGTTGTGTTGCAATTTGAGTGCAATCCTCACCATCATCATCATCACTGTCATCGTCAAGAACAATGATTTCCTCCACATCAGACGCTACATCTATTCTAATCTCCCCAATGTCCTTCTTTTGGCCTTGCTCTTTCGGAACTTGCTTGTTCTCATCAGGGTTCATCACGGCCATCACAGGCACGGAGTCGGAACCATTGGTAATGGGTTCCATAAGTGCTGGATTGTTGTGGATTGGAACTGAAATGTTAAAAGGAATTTAAATGAGAAAATAAAGTTTCAAACACCATTTATTTTATTTATTAATAATAAAAGTAATAATAATAATACCTTCTGGCTCTGGAACATCGAGCGGAATTTCAATCACAATAGATTCTGGCTCCTCCAATGTAGTTAGACAGTCAGAAGCTTCTTCCATATCCATAGGGGCAATCTTTTCATATGAGGATGTTGCCACCTCTTCAACTAATTTTGGTTCACTTGTGATCTAAATTACTCTTGTCTTAATATAAAACTGGTTTGTAAAATAAATTTTGTAAATTATACCTTTCCTGATTTTAATGAACCTGCCACATCAGGTAAATCGTCTCTGATTTTTGCCAATCCTTTGATCTCCAACAGCTCGGCAGTTTGTAGAAATGTGGAGAGTCGGTTTCCATCCAGCTTCACTTTTCCGGTGTAAATGAAGTCAACGATGCCTTCGAGATCTTCAAAAGCAATACTTGGGAAAATTACAAGCGGGTGTTCATTTGGACTCTCCTGAAATTAAGGTATTATTATTCAAAGTTTAAAATTATTAGCATAAAATTTACCTCCAACAATTGCTTGAGAAGGGGACTGGAGGCGGACAGAATAATCTTGTGGGCAGAAAGTTTCCTGCCTTCACTGCTCAGCGTAACGTCCAAAAGCGCTTTTTCTGTCCTCAGTGAATCAAACGAAGTCATGAATTGCTCCACGTAATTGTTCCATTTTAAGGAGTAGGTTTCGATCTCTTCATTATCCATGCTGAAACTGAAAACAACTTAATTATTCCTCACTTTTAAAATAATAATTTTAATGTTCGGAATACAATTAAATAGCTGAGAAATTTAAAGAAATAAAGAAAAATCTGTTTAACGCATGCTTTCTATCAAATAAATAAAATTCTCAAAGAATGAGAATTTTTGTGATTTTGTTTCATAAATTTAAATTATTCAATTTTATGCAACAATTACGTGGTTACAACTTACAAAGCCAAAAGGTAAAAAATAGTTTAAATTCAAGGACATTTCTTCATTTTTCGAGGGAATAAATTTAATGGTTCTTGTAACCAACAAACCATCAATAAGGGTTTGAAAATTTATGAATGCATGCCTAGATTCAGAATGAAAAATATGTAAGCAGAAATAGAAGATTATGATTCAGAAAATTCTTATGAAATCTAACTAGTGTGAAAAATGCATCAAAAAGAATTTGAATGTGCGTACATATTACAGGGCAAAACTATGCATCCTTTTATTCTTCAAATTATAAAAAATTGATATTTTTTCAACTGAAAATGTAAAATTTTCAAAAACATTCATATAATTACGTAAATATTAAAGAAAAAAAATGCATACCCCGGCCTTGCTTGTCAAGATTTGAAAAAAAAAAACTGTTTCATTTCGTGCTCTCTGTCGCTTTTGTGATTCCCAGTTCTCTGACCAAGGAATATTCAAAAACAAAAAGAAGTTTCACTCATAATTCTCACCCGAAAATCTCCCCAATAATGCGTGATCGTTGACGATTGTTGATAATGTTGATGCATTCGTGAAGAAGCTTTTAGAGTGTGTGACTTCTTTATTCCGTGTGTTGGTCTGAAGAATTCATGGAATAAAAATAACCTCTGGAGAGGTCGAACTGCAGCGGCTGCGACTGCAAACTAACATCAGTCGTTCCTCGACAAGTCGAGACTCGCAATAATACAAAAAGTAAGAATAAATGACGGCAGAGATCTGCTAAAATGTGAACACAAATCAAAAATCAACAGCAACACTGTTCGCCGCTTCACATTCCAGACAAATTTATGTAGTACAATCCGCAAAAATAATGCTGCTGGTTGGTTGCTTATGGTGGTATGTTTTTTTTTTTTTTTTAGGTTCAGGCCAGTTCAGGCCAAGACAAAGTCTTGTCGGCCTGTGCACTTTTTAGTGGCGCAGAAGGCGCCACTCAATTTTGTCTTTTTTTGTTTATGTGTATAATGTATTCTAAAATTATGTAATTTCGTAATTTTAATTATATTTATGGTGTATTACATGGAAATAATAATAATACCGCAAATAAAATTCAAATAGTAGACTGTTTAGTCTCTTTCAAATCAATTAAAAATAAGTAAAGTTAAGAAAAGATAAATAATACATTTTTTCATTGAATATAAACATTTTTTAAATTTACAAAGGTTAAATGTATTTCTTATGAAAAAAAACTGAAAAAACTGTAGCTTTTAGCGATTATGAATGAAACAACGGAAATAACTATTTATATTTGTTTTTAATTATAAATTACGTAAATACCAAATTCTTTTGCTGACATGCCATTAATTGTAAGATCTTTGGTAAAATAATTGTCTCTTACACCTCTAAAATTATTTTTTTCATTGATTTAATTGTAGAAAAATATCAGAATCTATGAAATTTTCGAGAATAATTAATATGTATGGTTATAATTATTAATTATTATGCAGAAAACTTGGGTGTTTGTCGACTGGTGGTGCCCTCTGTACCCTGAGCCGCGCGCTGCCTAGCTTGGAGGTGCCCTGTGGGCGTTCCATGTGATGTGCGCGCTCCTCTGCCGGCTGCAGGAGGGAGAAGAGGGGTTCCGGCTGAGCTGAGCAAAGGACCAGCAGGAGACCTTTTTAGTTATCTCAGGTGCAACCCTCCACCTAGGTATCGCTGTCTGTCTGTGCGACTCTCGTGCACACCTGGACCATTGAGAAGTGTTATTGTGTGCGTTGGACACGACTGGATCCACCTGAAAAAAGGTAGGCGAATGCAAGGAAATTTCTGATTTGAAAACTTAAAAATGTTGCCCATATAAAAACATAACATTTCTATGGAAAGCTCAACTTTTAACCAACCTAAATGAAAACAATGAAAATAACTCACGCATATATTTATTATTCTTTTGTTTGCCGAACTGGCATTAATTAAATTGCTATTTATGTATAGTAAATAAGTTGACAAGTCACGGAGACATTTTGTATCATCACATATATTTATATCAAAACTTACAATAATAACACGTCATTTCTTAGTTTAATTTGGAAATAAAAACGAAAGAAATTTACATTCGAAAACAATTTTTTTTTATTAGAAGTAAATACTTTTTAACAGTATTTAGTGTTAAATTAATTTTTAATTCAAATTAATTAATTGTTTTTGAATAAAAACAAGTTTTTGCAACGAGGAAAAGCCCGATCTCTTCATTTCAAATTTATGCATTGAAAGTTTCCCTCCGCTTGGTAAAAAAAAGTGAGATAATATCACAAAATTCTCTTTCGCCTCTGTTCGGCTTAACTAGCTGCTGTAGAGTTCATTACCTTTTGTCTTGTTGTCATATTCAAATTGTCTCTCTCTAGCGCGCAAGAAAGGAAGAGCCGAGAGCAAAACGCGACTATTATATTTGCAACACTATAAATTTTCAGCCACCTTTGCCGTTTCGTTGGCAAGGAAGTCTATAATTACTATTTGCTGTTGGTTGGGTTCGTCCGCGCGCGCACAGAGCGACAAGCCCCTTGAGATAAAACAACGCCATGGCCAGCGAAAATTCTGCTCGTCGGCCCACTGCTCTCCGACACACCGAGCCCGATCAAAAAAGGTTATGGGCTTTGGTGTGCTGAGCAAAAAATTATAATAACCTGAAAATAAATTATCGCTGCCACCGAGCAGCGTTATATAATATTTTTTTGGGATTATTATTACATAGACGTGTCAAATTCAGTATCCAGAAATGGCCACAACATGAAAACAAGACTTTTTTGGTGTGCAGAACTGGGTTGATGAGTTGATGACAATGCAATTTGGGAACTCCGAGCTAGGGCCAATGAAAATTAGATTTAAAGTTTTAAAATCAAGCTTAAATTTGTGAAAAATTGGATGATGGAAAGTTTGCATATTTTTTCAGTCGTAACGCACAAATTTCATAATTTTTCATTTAGGAATTTTAAATTTCGGATTCTTTGTTAATTGAAAAATATGGATTTATAATTACCCTAATTATTCCTCTTCAAACGAGTCAACGGTAATGATGCTGAGATGAAAAAAAGCTTAAATTAGTAAAATTCTAATTAAGGGGAATTAATTATACATTTCCTGCAAATGTTTGCAAAATCTTATAAAAAAATTGCAAATAAAAAGACATTTTTGTTTCATAATAATCCGTTTCAAGATCCTTTATCTAGTATTAAGGAAAAAACTGCAAACATAAAATTTCGCATTTGGAGAAAATGTCATTAAATTATAACCAAAAGGCTTTTAAAACGACATTAGGTACGGACGGCTACTTCAATAAAAACAAACAAACATTTACCACGTAAAAGATAAAATCGAACGTGCGCTGTTTGTAGAAACGCACGCGATTCCGCGAAACCATCGCGAATTTATTTTATTTCCTCCGCGGCGCACGATCGAGTGCCAAAGGAAGAGAGAGATGCCGAGCGTGCCTCTTTACTCATCAGCGGCCAACAGGAATGTTGACAATTTTTACGCGTTTTATTTGCTGCTGATGAGAACAATGAGGAACAAACGAACCCTTTCAGTATTGTTCCCTGGCAGACATTATTCATTCCTCACAAAAATGCAAAAAGTAAACAGACGGACGGATTTTTAAAAATTTGAAAGTCTTTCGTGGTCCAATGAGTGTGCGTTTGTCACCTTAGCAAACGCGTTTCTGTAATGTCTCTAATTACACGCGCAGTGCATTCAAGATTATACGTGGACCTGAACGTCCCTTTCCAAATAATGTTTTTGCTGCGCGGCTCCTGGAATGTATAATCATTTAGGGCTCTCTAGATTTGTTTGCCTGTTGTAGACTATAACCGATCCGAGAATTTAAAATTTGTTAAATTCCTAGACGAAAAAATGCTGAATATTTTTGTGTATATATTAATCGAAAAAATATGTGGATATTTGCTTTAAATAAAATGCAACAGAGAAAAAAATTTAGGAAAAGGGAGAGACTGAACAAACCTGTGTATCTTTTCTCACTCGTTTTGCAATTATAAACCATGATTGAAATTAATTTATCTTTTCATCCTATTTACTTTTATGCCTCGATTTATCATTTTTATCTTGGAAATTTATAAATCAATCTTCTTCTCTATTCACATTAGTAAAATAATAAAAGTGCCAGATGTTTGATGTCACAAATCAACACGAAGATTTATTGTCGATATTCCATTTAATCGACACGGTTTGACATGAAACGTCCCGATTGCTCGGTGACCCAAAAGTGAAAAAACATCCTTCTCGCAAGAGAGACGAGTGCGGTCGACAACACGTAAATAAACGACGATGATGATGCTTGGGAGGGAGGCTGCGCGGCTCCAGGAATGCGCTGCCTCAGGGACCACCGCCCAACCCCCTCTCGCAGCAGCACTTCTTCTTCTTCCTATCTCACCTGACGAAACCGCAGGCGACTCTGCAGCCCATACAATGCTCGGCGCAATATAATAATAATATTCATCCTCCTTTTCTTCCTCCTCTGTAAAAAGTAAAATGCACCTCGGCGCGGCTACTGCATCGCGCGCCCAAAGTCGTAACTCATCTCTGCGGATAGCAGATACACACACCGAGATAAACTCGCTCGCCTCACTACTAACCTGCTGCGATGCACTTTTATTGCATCTCGAAATAGCGCTGCGTGGCCCATAAATTTTACGCCGGACGCGTAATGTAACCACGCTTGCGGCAACGCACACACCTTTTGGTGATTTATAGATTTTCTTCAATGATTTCCGGAAAAATTGCTTGCGGATATGATTTCTAAGACAACATTGGATGAAAAAAAATTGAACCATTCCTTTTGTATGAAATAATAAATTTATAAACATTTAAAAGCAAAACAATTTAAGATGATTATTTTTTCGTGGTATTATAATAGTCTAAAGGTGACAGCAATCATTATAATATATAAATTTTACTAAATTTTTTGTGCTGTACTTTGCTAAAATGAAAGAGAAATGTGTGAATTAAAATATTAGTTATATTAGACCATAAACGAATTATATTATTTGTACGTTATGTAAAAACTAACTACTGACTTGTTTGGAGAAAAATAAATTGAATTAAATTGAACTGCTAAATTTTTATCAATCAAAATATTTATTTTTCATTTAATTTTTTTTTTATTTCCAAGATAAGTTTTACATAATGAAAGCTGAATCAAATATTGCTCCAAATTTTAGTCTGACCTTCCCAAAGGTCAGGCAAGCAGAGGGGCGATTGCTCTTTGATGATTTGGGCATCTTTTAAAATTACTCTCTCTCCGCAGCCTTAATTACGATGATCTGTTGGGCCTCGAGGTTTCCAAGCAGGTAAAAGATCAAAAGCGACCAAATGCGATTTTAATGCTCCTTTCGGCTGCTTTGCATAAACGACTCCGACTTTTAATATGTGCTAGATTATGCGAAAAGCTGACGCCATTAGAAATTAATAATTAATCCGGCTCAAATTTATTTTTCTTCTGTATGTGAATCTCCCTTCACTATTGAAATGCCAGGATGAATTTCTACTTTCAAACCGCGGGAATAATTATCCAGGCTAATTATGATAGACGTTAATCGCCTAGAGAGTAGTGCTGATAATCCACAATAAAATCCACACGCTCGATCTAGATTTTCAAATGGAGAGGACAAA